CCGTCCAGTCGGGACGGGACGGCTGTGGGCTGACCGTGACGGCGGCGGGACCGGAACATTGCTGGGTCAAGAGGAGGTCCGACAGCCTCGCGGATTCCGTTCAGGCCACTTTGGCGTGCGGTGACAGTGGAGTCGCTTCAAACTCGACCTGCGCAGGACAGCGGGTTGACAGTGCGTGCTTGGGATCAGTTCGTTGCGCCAGTCAACCGCCGAGGGTTTAGAAGGCAGATCAGAAGCAAACGACCTCGGTTATGCAGCGGGTTTACCATGTTTGAGTGTTTCCTGGCAAGGGTTCAGCGCTGCTGGGAAAGATTTAGAAATATGACTCATGTAATACCGGTGGGCTCCGATCACGACCACATCTGATCAGGTCCATGCTGGTGCGATGTAGACTGCGCCAGTTTATAACCAACGCTTTCGTCCTCTTTTCAGTGGTCGTTATTGATGAGGTCCTGGAGGCTTATCCAACTACCGCGTATGCTGACGATGGCACGGGTCTGCAACTGTGTCCCTTCCCCCTCGGCGCCCATTTTAAACACACCACCGATGGGATGCTGTTTTTAACATGAATCATCCTGTCACGTGCGCACCAACTCCGTGGGAGCCCGCCCGCAAGGGCGACATTCGCCTGCTACGGTCCGTCGCGCGCGGCAGATGGTGCTGAGTAGTCTTTTGTTCAGGCCAGATGCAATCGATACTATTGATTCGCTGCCGTTTCCCACCGCTCCTCTCGGAATAATCGAAGTTCACATTCCACAATGGGATGGGGATTTAATGCCGGCGTCGATTAACGCCATTTGTCAGGTGCGGCCGACCTTAAGCAACGGCCGTCGGAGACCGGCCGACCTTAAGCGCCGGCCGTCGGAGACGGACCGGCTTACCTACCATCGAATAGAACTGATATTCAACAGATGTCTTTGTCCATCCGTACGATGGAAGATCTTCTGAAATTGCAATCCAGCGTTCCTGGCCATAGGCGCCGGGAGGTGCGCCTCGTTTGACCCGAGCCACATGGGTAAGCTGGCTGGCAGCTGGCCAACGAGAGTCGGCCTGGCAAGAAGGGGGGGGGGGGAGAGCTGTTCTGAAGCAACCAAAACTGCATGCTCACCACGGAGCAGATCAATGCTTGACTGAAGTGACTGCAGACACACCGGCGGCTGCGGGCGTGGCGGCACGGTAGCATCGCGCCACCCATCACACGGCAATGGTGTCATTCACCGCAGCGGCTACCCAAGAACAGGTCTGCCTACCCCAGACGCTCCTGGTGGTAGTTGCTGCGTGTGCTAAACAACACTGTGCTGTGTGCCACCGTCTCTGAGAATCTGTGCATGTACGCACATTCACCCAGCCACGCTCACGCCTTCTCATCGATGCGCAATGGAAGGTCTGTGTATCGAATGCATTTTTACGAATAATTACACCTTCTGAACATTTAGCATTGAGAGCGACGGGGACGTGGACTCTCCCTTGGTATTCGCATTACATTGGCTTCCCAGTGATTGATGAATTGCTGTACTCCGCTGTAGCGATCAGGGATCTCAGAGGATTTTGGTTTTGGAGAGCTTGAGTACGCCCCAAATGCGCGGCAAGGACGCGATTTGCAGGAAGTGTAATTGCTTCCCCTTCTTTAGCATATAAGACCTTGCGCATGAAATTCAAATCCACGACAACTTTCGGATCGGGTTTAGTGGAATCCCATCCCCACGTGAGGGATGGGAGACACTTTGATCAAGGCTTGGATTCGGGGACGGTACCACTGGAGGACGGGGACGTGAGACGCATTCCCCTCATCGGATAGGAGAGGACAGTCCCCACCATCCCAGCAACCTTCTAGAGAGAAGCATATTGAAGATCCCTCACATCGGTTGTATTACACTGCTCACATACTATGCTACAATGCTACTAGGCCATGCAAAATGCTACTACGATGCCACGATGCCACTAGGTCCTGCAGGAGACCGCTCGGTGATGCTTCCCCGTACTGGTCGAGGGAACTGAATGTCATTCGGACCGGCGTCTGTCGAGTTTAAGGCCGGTTTAGGAGGTGACTGGATCATTAAGTGCCTGACCTATAGATGGCGCACTAATGGATATTGCATATTGGTCAGTTTTTACTAGCTATTTGCAATGGATATCACACATTTTTAAGGAAGAGGCGAAAACGAATCAACTGGTTGCTATATGCGCATTGCAATGCGATATCCAAAATTCCCCAGGCACGACTGCTATCTTCGGACGCTCTGGGTCCATAACCATTACGTGTTATGATCACATCTATCGTCGGGTTTTCCCAGCAGCTTTGGAGCGCAAATAGACATGGTCGCCCAAGTTTGGGCGAAAAGGGCGAAGGGCGAAATCTGCGCCCCCCCCCCCTCACTGTTTTCGAGGCTTAGCCAAAAATAAAAGGGTGGAAGGACCAGAAATTTTAAGTGCACTTATGCATTCGTTTTGTGCACGGAGGAATTTTTGAATTTTCAAGCACGTCACTGCACTCCCCGATGTCAGTCTGTGGGCAAAGTCTAGAAATTATAACCCCATGACTTGTGTAGGTACGAACAGATTTGCTGAAGATTGCAGAAGTGTCATGTCTGTTATGTGTTACATCTTGACTAGCTCTGTTTAATATATGAGCACTCTGCACTTGTATCCCTGGTAGCAGCATGGCTTACAGCGAGTATTTTGCGGCGGCTGGCCGACGTGACGGGAACCAGCTCTAGACCATTGCCCCTAAATGTCTTGGCCCGTGTGTGTTCTGCAGCATTGCCAACCAAAAAAACTCGTAATATGTGTCTAAGGTCTGTTCTTTGTTTTATACATGCATGTTTCATGCCTATACATTCATACAACCTATACGATGTTATGAAAATGATGCACTTAAGCAGTTGAAAATAACAGCTTGAGTTAAAGATAACCTATAAGTTAAATAAATAAACGCAAAATAATATCTTTTTTTAAAAATGACATCACTTGACCAAGCCTGTGTCGGTGGCCTAACCTGCAGCTATGGCTGCAGCTAAAACTGTGGACAAAACGCAAAGAAATATTCAAGAAAGTCTTGGGATGTAGCCAAGTGTCGGGCCAAGGGGAACATGATCCCTGAGTCAAGAAAGCTTTACTAGTTACTAGGTGATTTCTCGCGAATTTGGCTCAAATCCGCGGGATTTCGGGGAAATCTGACATTTGGTGCCGTGACGATGACAGTGACAATGACAATGTTACCTGCTGATGTTATGGTACTGAAAAGTTCGCGGACGTTGCGTCGTTAAATTTTCATGGTGCGCTAGAAAATCTTTGAACGTTTGGCTATGCTAAGGACCGAACCATAAACAGCAGTGGTGTAGATCTATGAGGAGTGCGTTGACTCTGATCTCTAAGCAGCGTGCCGCGTGATACTTATATAACCACTGTAATGCGTGGCCAAATTTACTCCGTGCTGATGTTCTTGCGCAAGCAAGAAAAAAAGCCAAAGGCATCGAGCTAACACGCCAAAGCGCAGCTCCGGGTATACAAAGTAATACACGAAATCGTATGGAATAGTAAAAATAGCTTTTGCCACTGTACATGCCACGTTTATAGACTGCTACGACCAACTGGCCTAGGTGATAGTATGAATTGCGTTGAGAATAAGTTGCGATACTGTGATGAGGCATTTCCGCTGGCCTGGAGCAAGTGACGTCCTCCGAAGATGGAGGGGAGGGGCTGATAACCATTTGCGTTATTTATTTGTTTCCAGTCAACGCTTACAGGACCAAAAACAACACTTTCAGAAAGGTGTGGGTTTCAATCTATGCCGCCGATCCCTCGTTCACACGCCCACATGCCTTACGATTTTGCTCCGCAAGGTGCGTAAGGAATGCGCATGACACTGCTCATTTAGGAGCACGCCAATTATCAGACGCGTGATTGCCTACCCACTTTTTATGCAAGTGTCGTAAGGATTTTACAACCTCGTCTCTGCGATCAAAAAGTGGTGGCGACAACCTGCTCGGATCCGCCTTTGCGGCGTGAACAGTCTATAGCACGCACGATTCGAGTAAGAATGCCTCACACTCATGCAGCAAAGCATTGTGAGCTCACCTCTAAGCCGCGCCGCCTTGTGTGTGCTTGCAGTGTGTGCCTGTGTCCAAAGGTGGCCCGCATCACATGGCTGCGATTGCATCATGCACGACAGTCGTACGTATGGCATGATCAGGCATCTGACAACTGACCTCGTCAATGTATCCGTCCAACATCGTACCTGTGGCGTGTAAAGCAGATAATCACGTAGCCCGGCCACATTTATGCATAAACATGAACAACAAAACAAACATTAAAATTACTTTACATTACCCTCTGACGATGCATGAAGGCGGTTTACTCGGGAAGACCTCATAGTAAGTCGAAGCCCAGCAGCTATAACATTTTCAGATGTTGTGGATTTCTTTGCATCTAAATCACCACGTCTTAAAATCACAATTTTCTGAACGTTCTAGGCAAAATAAAACAACATCATTACGTTAAAAGGAGAAATATGATCAACTAACTTTCGAGATAGCCTTTCGCTTTTGCCGTTCATGACACGGCATCGGCCACGGCCTCGCGGTGCAGTGAGTAAAACAGCAGCCCATGTGCCTTTGCGCCGCCGGAGCACAGCACTCCGGAGCCGTGTCCTGTTTCGGGCCGACGGCGGCGGCACGTGTGGGGCCGTGGTCGGCCCGCGCCGGCGCCCGCGCTCGCGCCCGGGGTGACGGCGCAGTCCTCTGTCAAGCGGCTCCCACGCCGCCGTGGGAAGCACCGTGTGAGCGACGGTCAGGGGCCACGGGCGGGACGCGCATGCGCAGTGGCGGCGGCGGCGGCGCGCTGGCCGCCGCTCGGTCGTGTGCCACACCGGGGGTCGATTCCGTCGGCGGTGGACGCGGCACGTGCCGAGTGGCGGCCGCCCACCACGCGCACGGCTTCCTGACACGTGACCGGCCACTGGGCAGCCGGCGCGCGCACAGACTCAGGTCACGTGACCCAGCAGCAGCGGCCATGAGTGGCATGAAGAGAGCGCTCAGCGACAGCGAGTGTGACGACGCGTTCGCTGAGGATGGCAAAGAGTGAGTAAGGACTGACGTTCTGCAAGATGCCAAGGTGTTTGAGTCGAGGCTATGACTGCTAAGGGCGCCACCATCGCCACGCCTCTCATGTGATTGTATATGTCGTGATGTGGCTCAGTCAAGGGCTTACAGGATGTTGCGATGAGGGGATGTTGACCACTCTGGAAAATGATTTAGCTGTGATGAATCGGACCAGACACGATTTGGAAGTCATGGCAAGGACGGAATAGTGCATGGATTCTATTCAATGTCGGTGTGATGATTGCAATGGATTCTGAAAATAAAATCGATGCGGTGACTTCCTCAAAGGAATGCGCTGGTGACAATGGCTCCCAGGGACATGTGGTATTCACGGCGTTAACCGCGTCCGTCTGGTTCACGTAAAGACAGAATGCGTACCCCAATACAATGAATCTCCAGTCAGTTCTCTGCATGTTGTTCCCGGACCGCCTCATCATCAGTGCCCCGCCCGGCGTGCCCCGGCACCGTCCGCTGGCGGGCCGGGCGTGACGTGACGCCTGGCACGCTCACGCCTGACCTGACCTCGACTCGGCAGGGAGTCGTCACCACACCGGAAACGTCGGCGCGGCGTGATCGAGAAACGGCGCCGCGACCGGATCAACAGCTCGCTGGCCGAGCTGCGCCGACTCGTGCCGTCCGCCTTCGAGAAGCAGGGCTCGGCCAAGCTGGAGAAGGCCGAGATCCTGCAGCTGACCGTCGACCACCTGCGCGTGCTGCACGCCAAAGGTAGGCAGAGCACTCAGCGGCAGCACCCCGCAAAAGGCGACGACGTGGCCGGGTTCTCTGAGCAGGCTGCGTACCTAATCGTATCGCGTGGCTCTACAGCTGGTCCTGTTTAATTATTTTATTTGGGGTCTAGTGCTCCCGTTCCGGATCCTGAATAAACTTTGACTTTTTCTCCATCACACTCTTTTTCTGTCCTCCTCTCCGCTTCCGTGCGTCTCTCTCTCCCTCCTCTCTCTCGCTCGCTCGTTCTTCTCCCCGTGCTTATTAGCCAGACATCAATAGCCATCTCACGATCCACCTGGTTGCGGACAATCGCTCCCGTTGCCGTTGACTCTGGCGCCGCCTGCGTCGGCCGCCTCTGGACCAGGCTGGGATCCGTCCTCCCCTTCCGCCTGCGCCAGCCGTCCCTGGGTCGGATCTCGGACCCGTCCTCCACGTTCTCTGACCAGGCCCTTGGCGGGATGATATCCGATGGCCGACTTCACAAATGCAGTAAGGGTGAGCTGATCGAGGACCATTTCCAGTGAATCGCGAGATCGACTTGAGGTTGTAAACATTAATAGCTGGATATGGTGTCATAGGGTGCGAAACAGCTGGGGTTCTTAAGTGATGACTGTTGTACCCAAGGACTTAAAACGCGTTTGAAGGCAGCTTTTCTCTTACTTGTGGACGCTTTTTCGATGAAATTTGTGCAAACGTCGCGCTTTTTTTCGTGTTTTTTTTTGTGTGTTGTCGGTGACCACCAGGTCTTCCCCCGCTCCCTTCGCTTGTACATATTGTCATCACATCCAACAAATTCTGTCTTTTCCCCACTGTGACCGCAAGCGACGCCTGGCGACTTTATTTCTAACCGTACGGTTTTTCTCACTCGCCGTTTCTTCTGCTTCCACTCCCCGCAATTTGCCCCAGTCATTTCCATTTCCCGTCATTGGCCGCAGGCGTCAGGCCTTTCTTTGTCGTCGCCTCTGATGTGCCCTTGTGCCCTGTCCTCTATGGAAGCCGCTCAGTTCCCACGTGCTAACTGCGGCATCCCGTCCCCTACCCAGACAGGTGAACGTCTGGCTTTGTCGTTGTACGGAGACTGGAATCCCCGCACAGGGCCGCCCTCCCCCTCCCCTCTCCCCCCTCCGCGATCGTGGCGTCGGCTCGCGTAGGCACCCTGCGTCTGTCGTAATATAGAAGATTGCGATCCTTTGGAATGGCTTCATGTGACGATCCCGTGACCGAGACGCTGCGGTGGGTTGGCCTGAGAGTGCGTAGTCACCTACTGCGCCCGGCGGCGGTGCTACGTTCCTGCTCGCCGGTGCAGTCTCCGGTGTTGGCCTGCATGAGCCGTCCCAGTCTTCCGCGTGCGCCGAACATCGCGTGTCACCCGGGAGACGCAGCCTCACGACGTCACGTCCCGCCTCGCGATCTTCTGTTCCGCAGTTGGTTTCCTCTCGCGCGCTGCGAACAGGTTTAGTGCGAGTGCAGCCGGTGTGCTTCGCAGTGCGGTGGCATATCTGTGAGAAAGTCGTGCCGCGTCATGGCCTCTGGTATTCATTTCGACAACACAAAGCGTGCTAGTTTCGCTTAAAACTTCGCGAAAGTTTGCCTATGTGCTTTATTGGACGCAGCTTCGTCCTAGCGCCGGTCGTTATTGGCCTAACGTTGTTAAGACCCTCAGGCCACAGTGATCCTGGGATCTCGTGCGTATCAGTTGACCGGGTCGGACAGTCTCACATGAGAACCCGCCTTACCAACAAACCAGCCTCCCACTGCTCCACATCCCGACGGTGTCGGCAGCATCAGTTCGGCCGTGGCGTCGGGCCGGTTGGCTGGTCAGATCCGGCGCGACCAATGCCGCCGTCGCGCTGCGGCTGCCGGCGCCGACCGGGCCGCTTCCGGCCGGCCAGCTCACACGGCGCCGCCTGGGAACGGCAGCCGGGGTGAGAGGTGGCGCTGCGCTCCCACGGTCGCGTGTGCCGGCCGGCCGCCGCCGCACGTGACCTCAGGGTCCGGTCAGACGGGTCGTGTGTCGGTCTGCCGCCGCCGCATGTGACCTTAGGGTCCGGTCAGAGGGTCGTGTGTCGATCTGCCGTCGCCGCACGTGACCTCAGGGTCCGGTCAGACGGGTCGTGTGAGGGTCGTGTAGGTCTGCCGCCGCCGCACGTGACCTCAGGGTCCGGTCAGCGAGTCGTGTGTCGGCAGGCCACCGCCGCACGTGACCTCAGGGTCCGGTCAAAGGGTCGTGTGTCGATCTGCCGCCGCCGCACGTGACCTCAGGGTCCGGTCAAAGGGTCGTGTGTCGATCTGCCGCCGCCGCACGTGACCTCAGGGTCCGGTCAGAGGGTCGTGTGTCGATCTGCCGCCGCCGCACGTGACCTCAGGGTCCGGTCAGAGGGTCGTGTGTCGATCTGCCACCGCCGCACGTGACCTCAGGGTCCGGTCCGAGGGTCGTGTGTCGATCTGCCACCGCCGCACGTGACCTCAGGGTCCGGTCAGAGGGTCGTGTGTCGATCTGCCGCCGCCGCACGTGACCTCAGGGTCCGGTCAGAGGGTCGTGTGTCGATCTGCCACCGCCGCACGTGACCTCAGGGTCCGGTCAGAGGGTCGTGTGTCGATCTGCCGCCGCCGCACGTGACCTCAGGGTCCGGTCAGAGGGTCGTGTGTCGGTCGGCCGCCGCCGCATGTGTCCTCAAACGTCCGGTCAGAGGGTCGTGAACTTCATTCACCACCCATGCCCTGTTCCCCGGCAGGTCTGGACGCGCTGGCGTACGACCCAAACAAGTTCGCCATGGACTACCACAGCATCGGGTTCCGGGAGTGCACGGCCGAGGTGGCGCGGTACCTCGTCACCGTCGAGGGCATGGACATCCAGGACCCGCTGCGGCTGCGGCTCATGTCCCACCTGCAGGTGAGAAGGGCGGGGGGCCGGACGCCGCATAGCGCTGACCGGCCCGGACGCGGTGAAGAGCCCATCGACCGACCGTCGCCTGACACTGCGTGGGCGTTGTCATGGAGGGGGGGGGGGGGGCTGACATGGGGTTCGTTGAGCTCGGCACAGGGAGAAACTGTTTGCAAGAAGTATGCAACATCCCACATTTATAATCTACTTATTCTTACACATGTTTGCATTTTTCGCTTGCCGACGTCCATTTAATGGGTAAATGCACGCCCAAATTTAACAAGGGGTGGAGTGATTTTACGTGCGCCCGTTGCTGCTGTGAATACGTCACTGGTTTTGGAATAGGTGTACTAACATTGCCTGGTTAACCAGCCATGGACGCGGTATATACCTTGCGATCGTGTGGCTTTAGAATGAATAATTTCACCAAGTTACTACCAACATAAGACTTGTTAAAAGTGTATTTGCACAAGCCTCAGTTGTCACATTTTCCAAGTTGCGGGCTGAGATAAAAACATTTCGGTTTTTCCTCGGCTTCCGTCCGCCTTTGTAGAAGAGTGGCCTCAAGAAACGGGCCAGTCAATCAGCGTCCTTACCTGCTGCGTCTTGTTTCGGCAGTGTTACTCTGCGCAGCGCGAGCTGGCCAACAAGCAGCACAGCTCCGGCTGGGGTCTCCAGTCGTACCCGAGCGGCGCCAGCCTGTCGGCCGCCGTCGACCAGGGCTACCACGCAGCGCTCGCCGGTCACGGCGCGTCCACGCTCGCCACCCACGAGCCCGCCCCCGCCAACCACATGGCACGCTACAACCCGCCCGCTGCTGTGGGCGGAGTCATGACGCAATATCCGGCCAATGGGGGCTTCCCCGGCGCGGCGCAGCCGATGACGTCATACGCCATGGGAGTGCCGTCGCAGCAGCACGTCGGTCAGGCCAGCGCCGGATCGGCCAAGCCGTACAGGCCCTGGGGCACAGAGCTGGCCTACTGAGCCCCGTCACCGGGCTGCCCAGCTAGTCATACTTGTGATATGAGGGTGCAGGCAGCGCGCGCCGCGCCCGGGTGCGTTCCAACGGCCCGGAGCTGTGACGTCAGACTGCTGTGCCGTCGCGGTCTCCTCACCACGCCTGCCAACTGTATAACGTTGGTCTGAAAGTATCGCATGGTGTATTCCGCTCGTTCATTGACTATGCAAACGAAGTTTTCCGTTTTGCAGTGGCAGACGTTATTTCGCAGCTTCATTTCCGGTGGACGTTTTTACACCGGCGCATTCTTGGGAGAGGATGCTTGCTTGCGACAGTGTGTACTCACGTTGGCAGTCAGACCTGCCCACCACGGAGGCTGCAGTTCGCTTTTTCGTACATCAGGGAGCCGTCGACCCGCGGATAATGAACGCCAATGAATCCAGCTCAGCTGCGCATCATATTCTCCCACATATGGTGGCCGCAGTGTCGAGGATACCGAACTAGACTCGCTGACATCACTCCTTGACTGGCTGATCCCAATAGATTAGTTTACCGGCGCCCACCACTCACAATGACTCGTCCGTTGTTTGTGGTCGTCACGCGGTTGGATGTGAACATCGTCTGAACAGCGAAGGACAAACATGCACTGATCTCAGATGAACCGGTCCTGTCCGCGCATCGTGGACTGGGTCGATTAGATGTTGGCTATTTTCATCATGTTTTTGTACCGCATTTCCCGCACTGAATGACATCGAACATTCCACACTAGTCGTGTAAGATGCGCGTCTGTAGACAACGAGTGTGTGTATCATATTTTTATACATGGTTCGTACAGAGTCTGCGTGTGGTATGTATCATGCGAGCGAATCTCCGGCATGGAAAGCGCTATGGAATGAGTCTACGCAGTGGCGGATGCAAGACATTCATTTGCACGGTCACCCCCGATCACCGGAGAGAGCCATTTCGGAAGTAAAGAAAAAGTGTCTGCATAAAGACCCGTAAATCAAAATTCGCACCACTGTCTTGAGAATGACATTCTGCGACCTGCCGAAATCAGACAAATAATAGTCAATAGGTGAATAGATGAAAGGTGGGAAAGAAGAGCATAATTTATTTTCTTTATCTCTTCCCATGCAAACCTGTCAATAAATTAGGCCACATTCCCTCCATTCGTCGGGTATCACTACGAGAGAGAAAAGTGGGCTCGTGACATGAACTGGCTTACCTCACACAGAGAAGCGTCATCCGCGGATGCGGGTCCGAGGGTGACGCCTCACGGATGTGGCGGGTCGTCACCCTCAGACTCGCTGCATCCGCGGGTGTGAGGGTGACGCCTCGCGGATGCGGCGGGTCGTCACCCTCAGACTCGCTGCATCCGCGGGTCCGAGGGTGACGCCTCACGGATGAGGCGGGTCGTCACCCTCAGACCCGCCACATCCACTCCGTGAACACTACAGGCGCAGCATATCGAGCTGCGCATGTAACAGCCATCTCAATGTATTCATGGATGCTGGGATGTATCAATGCTCAATGTATCCGGGTATTGTTGGGATACCCGGCAATGCCCGGGTGGTAAAATAATTCGTGCTGCAAAGTAACGATTTGGGGAGTTTTGTATGTGTTTCCATGTTGGCAAGCTGATGGAACCTTTGTTGCTGGCATTTGTACTTCCATTCAATCGTTGGATATGCACAAAAAACATTGCCGGCTTATCTGAGGACAACTAATTTGAGGAGCAAATCCATGGATACAACTTCTCAGAAACACCACATCGCTGTAAGTTCAATTTAAAAACAGCCCAGGGCAAATACTACTGTGCCCATACAACCTGCGGAAGTCACACATTAGTCCCAGTTAACCCGCAAAGGACCACTGACACGTGACATGCTACCGTATCATCGGACATTATCGTTTGACCAGCTGACCAGTCTGTAGGATCACGTGCCCGGGGGTGCAGCACTACGGCCTGCTACCCAGCTCGCGCACTCCAGGGCTCAGGCACTCCTACACTACCCTGGAGTCGCCTGGAGTGGAGTCGCCTGGAGTCGTCTGGAGTCCCGGCAGCGGACGAGTCGAGCGATGGGTGACCGCGGGCACACACGAAGCAGCGCAGAGATGGGCAAATGCCAGAACTGGGATAGCGACGTTTGTCGGGTCGCTTTCTTTCACCCTACATTCCCAGCAATGTCACAAATTCCACACATTCCGCTGTCTGCCTCGACACCAGCGATGAAAACCGACACTCTTCCTTGTTCAGTGGGACCGCTTCAGAGTCACGAAAAGCGCAGCCTCTGATAGCTGCATCCCAACGAGCTCCTCTCCACATGCAATCCACAAGTGTAACGACGGCCGTTTTATCTTCGGGGTACTGACTTGAGCGAGTTCAGTACAACGGCGCTGCTGGCTGAGGCGACACTAGTAGCAGTCAGCGGCCCACACACCACAGTGCACCGGAGTCAGCGTGGGGTCAGACCGGAAGGCCTGCTCTCCAAACATCTACTGCACGGAGAACGCTCGTGAGTCCTACACTGAACAGCGGTAATGGTTCTCGCCTCATCGTCCTTGGAAGTTTTTCCGAGCGGAAAAATGAATTTGTATGCATACTGAATTGTCTTAATGACAAGCACGACCAGCGCTTTGACATGAATTCGAAGTTTTTTCAACAAAACAACTATTTTGCAAGCAATTGTTTCTTAAGCAATTCCAACATTTTGAGGCCATGTTTACGCCAGGGTTACATCGCAAAAGTGCATTAGCACCACGCAAACAAATTATTTCACTCTGGAATACACCGCACAAAATGCGTCAATTTCAATCCCTGACACCGTTGTTGTTATGCAACCAGGTGTAAGATATACCGCCGAATGATTCTGTAAACCCATGGCAGCTATCATACTGCACTGGAGTTCGAGCATGACTCCTAAGAAAGCAGTCCTTATGCCGCTGATGGTGAGATCGGTGTGTCCCGTCAGCATAGTCGTGCTGAATATCCCTCCTATTCTGTGAGAGCGGATATCGGCGGCACCGAGCGAGGTCCGCCGCCGTGCAGCACATCCTTGGTTTACGAACAGGGGCACGTAAATGGTAGTCCCTCCTCCACTTACCAAATATGTGACATGTATGAATATGTATGGTACTAAATGCTGAGTTAAAAATCGAGGTAGACACGTGAAATGAAAAGACCGAGAACACGCCATTGTGTTTTACGGCACAAAAATTTGCGTGCGCCTGTGGTGCGCTTAGTTCGGTTTTTACTTTTTGAGCTACGCCCCCGCAATGTTAAAATGCTGTGCACGTCCCTGTTCAACGATGCAACAGGTTTTCAACAGAGTCACAGAACGGCGAAAAAAGCAATTGTCTATACGTGAAATTCCGGTCTGCAGGTGTTAATGCGTGAAAACAAGTGAATAGCACCGTACCATCGAGCGGTTTGTGCGGCGTTAGGAAAGCGTAGGCTGGTGGTGCTAATCTAAAGGCCATGTCACTTCGAGCAGCCCTCGAGATCCCAGCTTCTCCAAATGGGACTATGACTCGCCACACATTATGCGCATGGAAGAACGCAGTATATGAGGTCTCTGGTAACCACTCCTCTGGGAATGAAGCAAAACGAAAGTAGCGTTCGTGACCGGTTTGATGAACACCCTGGATGCGAGCGTTTGCGGAGAGCGGTCACACCAATAGGTGAACGCATGATTGTTTTTTTACGTCACGCTGGAACAAGGTAAACAAAATACCAACTTTGAAGCATCAATTTTAGTCACAGGAAGAGACCAAGCGGATTTACGGCTGTAAGAACTGCTGCACAGGCGTAAAACATTTCCGAGGCTGAACATACAGACGGGGAGTTGAGAGTTTGATGCTCATGCGCTTAGTTTCTGAGCGAATTGACCTACTTTTGAGGGATGTTGTTCAGTTATGTTGGAAGCATTACTGAGCTGGGGCATCGTAAATTTAAGATAGTAATTCAACCGACTTGCTCGTACTTCAAGGGAGCATTCGGGAAAATATTTCCTTATCGCTAAATGCCTTACGCTATCGGTTACTGATGGCAAGCTTATTTCAACTGACGTCACTCATACCGGCTGAGTATATCCAGACCGCAACACTTGATGTGTACCAAGGCCTGATTGGTGGTTTGGTAAGTAGCTCATTGTCGTTGTCATGCCAACTGCCATGCCAATTTTCGACCAGATCAGAGTAAAATCCCCGCGCACAACCGCAGACTTACGGCGTATGTTTGACTTTAATGGCTTGTATACGCCCAAATCACCCATTCCAGAAATATCATTTGGAGTAAAAAGGAAGCCATAAGCCTAGTGCTATGCTGAACCAATGACTGTGCAAATCGTGCCCAAAAGCAAATTTTCATTTACCTAAAAACATAAATGCATCAGAAATGATTTCTTGCTGGTTCTCCAATAGCACTTCCGGATGTTATTAATTATTCATAATTGACATGACTAGACGCAATTGTTCCTGGTCTTTCACCAGACCATGTTTTCTTAATTTACCCAGAAAGTGGCACACTCCCTTCAAAGGCTACCTCAGCGCTCCTATTGGTTCTAGCAAAAATACGGCGAAGACAGCCTGTGATTAGCCCCAAATGAGCGAGGAACGCTACAAACTGATCCTCACTGCAGGGCGGTCTGTCGCTCGCTTCAGTGACATTCAGGACTCTCCATTGCGCAAAGGACTGATGACGTTCCGATGCCAGGGTGGTTAACAACCCATCTGACCTCTGGCCGACGTCGACGCAATCGGAGCATCGTTTTAAACATGTTTAATAAAGACGTTGCCAGAGAGCTCAAAATAATCGACTCAGACCATTTCGAATGGGAACTCAAACATGATTGGCCTGGCATGGATCCGCCGACAGATGGGGAAGCCATGCTGTGACATGTTTTGCACTGCACTTCTTTTTGGTGATAGCTGCGTCCACCCCAAACCAGAAGTGTTCGCGCTGATCTTCATCCCCACATCGTCTTGGTGAGCGGAGTGCATACAATTAAGTGGTTCCGATCGTTGAGACTCGGAAATGGGGCCTTTTTACTGTCACTGTTTCCACCTCCACTGGTACATTTAAACATATTGTAAATTTTGTCTTCACTCGCATCCCTTGATTTTTCGTAAACTTCATGCGATGAAGGATCATAACTCACTCGATCACATTCCGGAAACGCAGGGTAAATATAGTTGTTTCCGATTTCCAAAAAGATCACTCTTTTCTTTAAATCATACGTCTTCTAAACTAGAATGGTTTCTTTCCACATAGCGAGACTGATAGAGCTGTCGGTTACTGGCTGAAGCAATCTTTCGCCAGCTGGCTGCACACTGCAGTACTGGTCATCGCAGTTTATCCCCTCTTCTCTGTCAGCGCATGTGCTAGCACCCAGCGTCTCACCAATCCGAGCGAGCGAAGTTCGGCAGTGTGTGCTGACTGACCTGGCCGCTAGTGAATGATCCGCGCTCTCTGACAGCGGCTTACAAACCTGTCAGCCTACAAACCGGGTAGCGTAGTGTACGCGTCCAGCAGATACTTCACGAAGCAAAGCCAGCGACCAACTGTCCTCCACATCCGAGTGAGCTCGCCAGTACACAAATCACGTGCCCAATTCATTTTAATCACGCCTCCTATTGAGCTCATTACTTGGCTATTCTCCTGCGGGGTTTTATAACCTGCCATACTGCAGGTCGGCCTACCGTGTCGTAAAGTCAGGCACGTCCCTTTGTGTTGTGCTCGAGCGGACCGGCGCAGCGGACGGCCACCGGCCAACGCACGCGCAATGGCCCCCCAGGGAGAGCTCCCCGGCTACTGGACAATGGTCACTGGCCGCAACAGCTGTTACGCCGAAGTCCCTCCGACACGAGACAGCGGACGCGCACATGCATGTCAGGATATGTCCACCGCTCTGGTTCACACTTGTGTATTGGCTGGGTTATCGATTCAATTCAACACGGTGAAATCTAATAACAGGCCTGACGCATGGTATCTTGCTATTGCAAAGTAATGTTAGAGGCAAGGAGAGCGGAAGTGCCAGCTCTCAGTAGACTGAGAAAGCGTGGAGGCACCACGTATCGCATTCATGTCTGTTTTTCCTTCATTAGGGTGCTTCCACAACAAATAATCCGGGCACAAAAGTCCCCGTACTGCATTAAACATCCCGGCAACATAGCAAATATTGACAAAGCTCTCTGGGTCAAGACATCCATAAACAACATTACACGAAGCATAGCACAATACACATCAACTCATCACTGCTCACTCCTCCTCCTCCTTAACATCCTCCTTCTCGTAACCAGACAACTTCGACCTGAGCTCTTTAATTTTGGAATTCTTTTCCATCAGCAGCTTCTTCATGTTTCTATACGCAGCAGTCTGCTGAAACTTGTGATCCAGTTCCTGCAACACGGAAACGCGCAGTTGCGATCGGCATATTATACCGGTGCCATATGCTCGGAGGCTGCAGGAAACCAGGCTCGTAAGGAACAAATCCTAAAAATGCATATCTCCTCAACTAGAGGTATAGGTCTTCCGTTTGTACTAAAACTATTCGTACCATCTAAGTAGGTGGTATCCATTGTGTATTTATTACTATAATCCTATTCCTGTGCTCACTTGGTTATGAGCTACTAGCCACATTTCTTTCGACAGCCGAAGGCGCAGCTGCGGCTGGTTTCCCCATGATATGGATCGGCGGGCCCATGACCACCACCCGCCTGTGGTCCGCATCACTGCACGGCGTCTAGGCACCGCTGCCCATCCTCAGCGCACCATTTCAGCCAGCTCCAGCTGGGAGCGTATCTCCTGCAGCTTGTGCTTAGTGGTGTCCAACTCGTCGGCCAGCAGCGTCTTGCTGAACTCGGACTGCTGCAGGCTGGCCTCCAGCTCGCGTTGCACGGTGCTGGCCTGGCCCTGGATCTGACATCAGGGCGGCAGGGGACGGGTCAAGCACACGGGTCAGGGTACATGGCGTGACGTCAGAGCAACAGGCGCACGGGTCAGGCACGCGGGTCAGAGTACATGACGTAACGTCAGGGCGGCAGGCGGACGGGTCAGGCACGCGGGTCAGGGTACATGGCGTGACGTCAGGGCGGCAGGCGCACGGGTCAGGCACGCGGGTCAGGGTACATGGCGTGACGTCAGGGCGGCAGGCGCGCGTGACAGGCCCGCGGGTCAGGGTACATGGCGTGACGTCAGGGCGGCAGGCGGGCGGGTCAGGCACGCGGGTCAGGGTACATGGCGTGACGTCAGGGCGGCAGGTGCGCGGGACAGGCCCGCGGGTCAGGGTACGTGGCGTGACGTTAGGGCGGCAGGCGCGCGTGACAGGCCCGCGGGTCAGAGTATATCACGTAACGTCAGGGCGGCAGACGCACGGGTCAGGCACGCGGGTCAGGGTACATGACGTAACGTCAGGGCGGAAGCGCACGTGTCAGGCACGCGGGTCAGGGTACATGGCGGGACGTCATAGCGGCAGGCGCACGGGACAGGCCCGCGGGTCAGGGTACATGACGTAACGTCAGGGCGGCAGGCGCACGGGACAGGCTCGCGGGTCAGGGTACATGGCCTAACGTCAGGGCGGCAGGCGCGCGGGTCAGGCACGCGGGTCATGACACATAACACAGCATATGGCGACGAGGACGATCACAGCCCTTGCAGCGCGCCGCGCGCCGCATGACCCCCAGCAGACGCCATCGTTACACGGGCATCATTGACTTCCGCGTGTGCCGCTGGGCCCATGAGCGCTGGACGTGCTGTGTCGTCGGCTACCTATGGGGCTAGTTTGGCATGCAGCTGGAGGGACCACCGATGCTGAGGGGACCCACGGATCATGGCCTCTAAATCCAGCAGCCAGTAAACAACTCCAGGCTCCGAATGCGCGTGAGTGATTAGGTTGCCGACTTGACAGCGTTCAGCCTTCCACACAGACCAACGTTAAGCAGAGATCAATGTGCAACGATGCTTACGAGGTCATATGTGGGAGGACGTATAACGTAGCAACTAACTCAGGCTGTATACAGTGCTTACGGAGGAATACAATGCTATTATTGGAGCAATACACTGTATTACTCCAATAACGGAGTAATGCAACGTTTGTCTTTAGTGACATGGAGTCACTCAAAAGGAACCCAGCACACGAGTTATCCAGCACCCGAGAGTGCCAGCCATGTGAGCGTTCATACTTTAATCCGGCAGCATACCGGCCAATAGAACGCCTCATGTTGCGCGGGACGAGTGCGGCGGCGACGGGTGGGAGAATGGTCGGTTTTCATGCGGCTTCAGACGCTTCAGGCGGTTTGTAGACGGTGTCAAAAACTACGTTGTTAGAGACAGACACCTTCCGTAACCGATACCAATGGGTTTACAATGTGTGAAGGGAACTCGCTTTCGTGACAGCTTAGCAGGAGGAAGGCTAGTGATGCAGTGTTTGCAAGCTGATTCACAACTAAGATTATGCCACAAAACGTCCTGTTGTAAGTCACGTCATCCTTGGTAATTCCATTTGATGAAGTCGAAGAGTTTTGGGCGATAAGGTTGGACGGTCCTGGCAATGGTGACTACAGCACCGAAAAAACTCACAATTTGGATGAATAACGCTCAAAATTAGCAGGGCTTTACGTCTGTGTAGTCCTCATAGCTCGACCGCTACCGGAGTCGGCCGCGGAGTTTCGCAATGGGATCGGTTCCGGACAAGGCGGCGCTGGCCACCGTCTGGTCGACTCCTGGTACAGCCACGGGCCGGAGTTTGAAATGCGCCAGCGATTTGTAACCGCTACAGTCGCCGACACTGCGTAGTTGGCTTCCCGTCCTCCCCCGCTCCGGTTGTTGAGATCAAACACCAATCTTTAATAGAGGGTCCCAAAACGGGCAGACCCCTAACATGCACAGGATAGCTGTCGTTGGTGTGCACAGGGTAGACGATGTTGGTGTGCGCTGTACGCTCGTTGATCCTCAATGTTGCCTGCGCGATTGTCTGATCTCTCGTAGATCTATTCCCCACAAGCGTTATTAGACATCAGACACTTCATTTAGCACCAAATCTAACCTGTTTGACGAATAGTTTACACGGGACTAAAACCGTTGGTCTGCCGTCAGGGCCACCAACATACCTGCATATTTTCACTATGGAGGCATATTGGTTTCAATCATGTACCCACTCGTCCTTTCACCTTTGCAGCTCTTTATGATTTTATGGGACCAAATAAAAAACGTGAATCAAGCAGTTGGTACACAATGACGAAACAAAACGCTTCCGGAATAAAGTTCATCGGCGATTTTGACAGGCCTCACGACAAACGATGGGTTTCTCCCCGGCCATCCTCTGGGTATGTATTTCAGGATTAAATGCTTGAGAAGTGCAGCGGAACCAAATTAAGAACCAGTCGAATAAGCGCTAACGTGAAAGGGCTCGTTCCTACGCATTAGTTTGTTTCCTGTCGCCTTGACGTCAGCTCGGCGACATTTTGACCCGGTTTCGATCATCGTCTTTCACTTTTTACGATCTGAGACTTTTTCTAAGGAAATCGGAGATGGTGGTCAAATCGTGGCGATTTTTCAACGTCGAGGGACACAAACCGCACCATGAAGCATTATACGTGCCAATGCCTATAGTTGATACCATAAAGGTTTAGAAAATGACGTTTCTAAAAGCTGTGAAGCGTGTTAACCTACGGCGGGTACTTGCAAAGAGGGCATCTTAAAAGCGTGGCGGCCCACTGGGCCAGGCTGTTCGCGCTGAAAATTTTTCACAGCTGAAGCAAGCCTCAATCCGTGATTGTTGAGGTGATGATGGTGATCGGGAAGGCCTCGCTCGTGGTTAGGTGTTCGCTCGTAGTAAGAATGTTAAGAGTACTGGTGTTATATGCGGCCCATTCGGAGCTGCGGCGCACCTGTTCCAGCTGCTCCTTGGAGACGTTGTCCTTGGAGGAGCGCAGGAACTCCAGCTCCGACCGCAGCTTGCCGAGCTCCGAGTTCAGCTCTCCCTTCTCGGAGGCCAGCTCTGACGCCTGCAACAGCAGCGGCTGCCGTCAGTCTCCCTTCTCAGAGGCCAGTCAGTCTACGGTCTCGGAGGCCAGCTCTGACGCCTGCAACAGCAGCGGCTGCTGTCAGTCTCCCTTCTCAGAGGCCAGTCAGTCTACGGTCTCGGAGGCCAGCTCTGGCGCCTGCGACAGCACTGGCCGCCGTCAGTCTCCCTTCTCAGAGGCCAACTCCGGCGCCTGCAACAGCACCGGCCGCCGTCAGCCTCCCTTCTCAGAGGCCGTCTCTGACGCCTACAACAGCAGCAACCGCCGTCAGTCTCCCTTCTCAGAGGCCAGCTCTGACGCCTACAACAGCAGCGACCGCCGTCAGTCTCCCTTCTCAGAGGCCAGCTCTGACGCCTGCAACAGCAGCGACCGCCGTCAGTCTCCCTTCTCAGAGGCCAGTTAGTCTCCCTTCTCGGACGCCAGCTCTGACGCCTGCAACAGCAGCGCCTGCCGTCAGTCTCCCGACGTCGACCGATGGCATGCAATACCAATGCATGTCAGCGGTCTGCTTACGCCTCTGCATCGCCTCAAGACAAAACCGATAGCCGTCGCCGGCTGGCCTCTGTCATGCACAAATACCTTTCTGATCAAACCTCGAGTGAATTAGGAGGAACGAGCTACCAGGGGAAAGAGCAAGGTTAGTCAAAGAAGCAAAGCAGATTCGTTACAAATAGCAAAAATATCCTTTTTCAAAATTCAACGATAGACGGAATACAAGCGAAACAGGAATGACATGGTTTGTGGTTCCAACTGACATGCGAATGAAAGGATCGTTCTTCAGACAATGTAATAGTTGGACCGGAACATAAAAATGTGAAAATCTAGTACTTTTCGCTGGCAACTTATTTGATACGACCGGTTAAAATCACCTTTGTCTGCCTGTCTTTGTTTTAAGTGTTAAGTCTACAATTCCAGATTTCTTCAGCGCACATTTGCCAATCTTGTTGCCAACAGCTAATCATACATTTCTTTGGATCCGAGGAAATGGATTCAATGGCTTGGATATTGCGTTGGAGTTTCAGATCTTCCAAAATGTACATAAGATCCCCCATAAAACATAAAAAACTTCGGTCGCCCAAGTACGATTTGAAAATCTCGAACAGCCTAATATTATTGTCATGGTGTCGTTCCGGGTCCCAACAGATAATTCCACCGTATATGATCGACGGGCCTTCCGTGGCTCATGATCCAATTCCAAACTTGTAAAAACATCACCTAGGGTTCAAAACCGATTCCAACATTTCGCTGACAACATGACGTTTTTTTAAAGTGAAGCCTGCTCAACAAAAAAAGCATGTTTCCTCTGTCATATCCAGATAGAATATCCAAACCAGGCCATGGTATATTCAATGAGCTCTTAACGATTTTCCAGAACTGTGTCTCTTAAAACTCTGAGGTGCGATCATTTAGTAACACATATGAAATTCAATTTTGTTGGGGCATTTACCGAGAACCAGAAAATTAAGTGCATTTTTGTAAGCGCTCAGTTTTTAGCTTTGACAAAAAGTGGACTGAAGGTGGGTTTCATCATTAAGGCTCGAGCCATGTCTGCAGCAAAGGACCGTTGCGCCATGCTTGGTACTTGTAGGCCTTTGCTCTCACCGCCTTACTGTTGTTACACATTCACATGAAGTTATATACCTATATATATATATATATATATATAACTTATATATCAAACTTATATATATATATATAACTTATATATCAAACTTATATATATATATAACTTATATATCAAACTTATATATATAACTTATATATCAAACTTATATATATATATATATATATATATATATATATATATATATATATATATATATATATATATTGTCTATCATGTCACTACAGGCTCAGGACATCAACGTAATTTTAAGTATCAAGTATGTCTCTGGTTGCGGTTCATGAGTTAACAGCAAAACGCGATCTCCTTGCAGCAGCCCGTGTTTAATGAGCTGTGTCATCGCTCGAAAAGCTAACGACACCCAGGGATCTGAAAAGGTTATGAGGTGCATGCGAGGCATCAGTATACACCTGGGAGGATATCATGCATCATATGAAAACGTCACATGATAGTGAGCCCAGACACCAGACTTGCGTAAGCCACTCGACATCGGGTTGGAATTATTCAAACACAGTTCATTACTACGTACATTAATCTGCAGCAAAGTATCGCGCTAAAGGAATAACTGTACCGGGGGTGTAGTTCTTTTCCACAATTCCCTCGCTTTCCGACAGGCTTCCTACTGACATCAATGCACGGTCGACCGGACGTGCGTCGATGAGTCGTGTGCCCAACATGTCCTCGTCATCGGGCTATCACCAGGGTCACCAGTGGCGGAACAGTTCAAACTGTGCATTATGGAGGAGAAAGCAGTCCTTCTCATGAAGCTCAGGCGAACAAATCATTGGCTAGAGTGCCACGGAACGGAGTCTTCGCCGAGCTTGCATTGCTACGCTGGCACTGACACGTGTACTGAAATGGTCGGAAATGCTGGATATCTTTACCGGAGCCAACATTCCGCTGAATCTTTAACGTCCCATACGAGGTCATAGTACGACCACACGTAGCTTCCTAGCCTTATCGATCGAAACACGAAGCATTCAGTGGGAACTGAACCCACAGGATGGAGCATCTTGAGCCCACGTCATCTGTTATTCACTTTGAGACGAGACCGGCAAGTACCTGGCCATGCCACACGTATACATAGGTCATAGCCCGCTCAGAATACGAACTGACTTAGGGATTATGACGATTCGAGACTTGGACCTACGTAAATCCATGCATTTCACGAATGAACCTGACTTATCTTGACTCAGAATCAGACTCAGACTACCACTAAACCATTAACCAGGAACAACTCAGCTCATTATTCGGCACCATGTCTATCCTACGAAATTTGCCCAGAGTAAATGCCTTCAACTCCCACTTTCATCATAAACTTGCTTTTTTTTAAACTCGGAACTTGAACCTACATAAATCGACGCGTTTCACGAAACAATCTGATTTATCTTGACTCAGAGTCAAGACCCATATTAATTATAGTTATTGCATTTATACAGCCGTTATTCAGTCATTCCACCTATAAACTTTGACCATTGTGGCATCCATGGCAAGACGTAGCCTAATGAAGTAAAACCAACTTTGAAACCAAATGATTCACGCCCGCGCTCTGGCCCAAGTTCCCGTGAATCAGACTCAGCCTCGAACTCGTTTGCGAAGCCGTTACATAAGAATTTGGTGTAGTACTTGAAGTCAAGGTCTTAGGATTCGGAGTTCAGATTCATACCGAGGATATATGAAAAGAGTGAACAAGTGTCTTGAAATGCCGTCAAAGACGCAAGAGCCGTCAAGCTATTGAACTCAGCCACTTGCCTGCCCTCGGGCCAACGACATGGTGTTTTCATAGTTTGGGAGACCAATCGATAAGCTCCTGCTCTGCTCACAATTTATAAATGGGCATTGGTCCATGCATCAAAACAAAATGACGTCGACCAACAGACTGTGCCCAGGATTGCCTTAATAACGCGACTAAGCCGTTTGTGTCGAGCCAGACAGCCGCTGGCGTACTGTGTACCGCGCACACAAGCCCCGGCTCACCTGAGCTTCGATGCTCTGGATGCGCTCGATGAGCTTGCCCTTCTCGTCGCCGAGCTTGAGCAGCTCATTCAACGCCTTGTCGTCGTTGAGCGGCGCCAGACAGACCTTACCGCGGGGCTTGCCGGCCAGCTCGTCCTCCTCGAACGTCTTCACCAGGTCGATCAGCTCCCTGCCGGTAACAGGACAGGTCACGGCGTCTGGCAAACCAGCCACCAACGGGGAAACCCTCGGACCTGTCCATGTGAAAACGGCACGTGTTGACAGTGTGCGAATTGGATTCATTTCCTTCAGCGTCCCGTTCCAAACCGTGGAACCGTGCGCCTGTTCTGGGCCTCTTCTTCTGGTTCTGTTCCGAGTCTACACTACGGCTCGGTACGACAAGCATTCCCTCCAAAATCCTCTGTCGCGGGACATGGGTTCACAGCGTTAAGGATGCGAGTAGTTAAGGGGTCTGGCTACGGTAATTGCGAAAATTGAAATTGAGCAATGCCGCAATCCGCCTAAGAAGCGCAAAAAGAGGACGGTCAGGTCTCGTTAACAACCTCCCATAGCATAACATATACCATTTACTTTGAAAGTTTTCGCTGTCGCGTCCTTTTGGACGGCTGGGATAACTGTATTCCTTTTTCAACTTAAGATAACATTGAAGGAGGTGGAAAAGTTGTGAAATTGATTTTGATACCCAGTAACCTGCATGTCCTGTTTACTCCTTTTCCGTCCCAAAGATGAAAAAACACATGTTTTCCGAAGCCAAGATACATCCATTATGCACCTCTACTCATGCGGCAAATGACCCTGCTCATGTTGCACAATTAAAAATCACCAAAATTCATCATTGTACGGGTCACGGACATTTATATTTACATGGCGTCTGCCATTTGGACTGTATATCAAAATGGCAGTCGCCATGTTACCCTTTCGTCTTTGCGGCGGCAGCCCTGGTCATCCCGAATCACCTCAGACTAGGATCTCAATGTGAGTAAGTGTATCATGATGTTACTGGCGTACCCCTGAGACCGCCCCTGCTCGCGCCGCCAGTGCTGCTGCACTTTGGTACGCCGCGGCCCCGAATGGCGGTGTACTGCTTGGGGCGCCACCCGCCGGAGTCGGCGCCGCCCGCTCGCTTCGCGGGATAATACAGTTGCCGTTTAGCAGCGCTCGTGTCTGGTCTGGGCAGACAACACGTAGACTTGAATAGTAAGTCATGACGGTCGAACATCAGTAATATAGGAGTGACATTTTGGACCCAGAAAAGCGTCATGAAGATCAGCACTCGGCGTCGGGAGCGCCGGGTAGCACGCTGATAACCCGCACACAGGGCCACCGCGCCTGGCGGCAGCCCGCCGCTAGCTGGCCGGACAGCGTTCCCTCTCACTTGTCCTCCAGCTGTTCCACGTGTGAGTCGAGCCGAAGGTGCCACTTCTGCGCCTGCACGAACACCTGGCGCAGCAGCAGGAGCGCCGTGTGGTCGGCGTTCACCAGCTCGGCGCTGACCTCATCATGCACCTCCGTACTGAGCCGGGTGAGCAGCTCCTCCACCTCGTCCCTGGTGTATGTCGTCTCGGAGAGCCTGCCGGACAGAGCACACCGGGTCAGCAGCTCCTCCACCTCGTCCCTGATGTATGTTGTCCCGGAGAGCCTGCCGGACAGAGCACACCGGGTCAGCAGTTCTTCCGCCTCGTCACCGTTATACGTTGTCTCAGAGAGCCTGCCAGACACAACACACCGGGTGAGCAGCTCCTCCACCTCGTCCCTGGTGTATGTCGTCTCGGAGAGCCTGCCGGACAGAGCACACCAGGTCAGCAGCTCCTCCACCTCGTCCCTGGTGTATGTCGTCTCGAGAGCCTGCCGGACACAACACACCGGGTCAGCAGCTCCTCCACCTCGTCCCTGGTGTATGTCGTCTCGGAGAGCCTGCCAGACACAACACACCGGGTCAGCAGCCCCTCCACCTCGTCCCTGGTGTATGTCGTCTCGGAGAGCCTGCCGGACAGAGCACACCGGGTCAGCAGCCCCTCCACCTCGTCCCTGGTGTATGTCGTCTCGAGAGCCTGCCGGACACAACACACCGGGTCAGCAGCTCTTCCACCTCGTCCCTGGTGTATGTCGTCTCGGAGAGCCTGCCGGACACAACACACCGGGTCAGCAGCTCCTCCACCTCGTCCCTGGTGTATGTCGTCTCGGAGAGCCTGCCAGACACAACACACCGGGTGAGCAGCTCCTCCACCTCGTCCCTGGTGTATGTCGTCTCGGAGAGCCTGCCGGACAGAGCACACCGGGTCAGCAGCTCCTCCACCTCGTCCCTGGTGTATGTCGTCTCGAGAGCCTGCCGGACACAACACACCGGGTCAGCAGCCCCTCCACCTCGTCCCTGGTGTATGTCGTCTCGGAGAGCCTGCCGGACACAACACACCGGGTCAGCAGCTCCTCCACCTCGTCCCTGGTGTATGTCGTCTCGGAGAGCCTGCCAGACACAACACACCGGGTGAGCAGCTCCTCCACCTCGTCCCTGGTGTATGTCGTCTCGGAGAGCCTGCCGGACAGAGCACACCGGGTCAGCAGCTCCTCCACCTCGTCCCTGGTGTATGTCGTCTCGGAGAGCCTGCCGGACAGAGCACACCGGGTGAGCAGCTCCTCCACCTCGTCCCTGGTGTATGTCGTCTCGGAGAGCCTGCCGGACACAACACACCGGGTCAGCAGCTCCTCCACCTCGTCCCTGGTGTATGTCGTCTCGAGAGCCTGCCGGACACAACACACCGGGTCAGCAGCCCCTCCACCTCGTCCCTGGTGTATGTCGTCTCGGAGAGCCTGCCGGACACAACACACCGGGTCAGCAGCTCCTCCACCTCGTCCCTGGTGTATGTCGTCTCGAGAGCCTGCCGGACACAACACACCGGGTCAGCAGCTCCTCCACCTCGTCCCTGGTGTATGTCGTCTCGGAGAGCCTGCCGGACAGAGCACACCGGGTCAGCAGCTCCTCCACCTCGTCCCTGGTGTATGTCGTCTCGGAGAGCCTGCCAGACACAACACACCGGGTCAGCAGCTCTTCCACCTCGTCCCTGGTGTATGTCGTCTCGGAGAGCCTGCCGGACAGAGCACACCGGGTCAGCAGCTCCTCCACCTCGTCCCTGGTGTATGTCGTCTCGGAGAGCCTGCCGGACAGAGCACACCGGGTCAGCAGCTCCTCCACCTCGTCCCTGGTGTATGTTGTCTCGGAGAGCCTGCCGGACACAACACACCGGGTGAGCAGCTCCTCCACCTCGTCCCTGGTGTATGTCGTCTCGGAGAGCCTGCCGGACACAACACACCGGGTCAGCAGCTCCTCCACCTCGTCCCTGGTGTATGTCGTCTCGGAGAGCCTGCCGGACAGAGCACACCGGGTCAGCAGCTCCTCCACCTCGTCCCTGGTGTATGTCGTCTCGGAGAGCCTGCCAGACACAACACACCGGGTCAGCAGCTCTTCCACCTCGTCCCTGGTGTATGTCGTCTCGGAGAGCCTGCCGGACAGAGCACACCAGGTCAGCAGCTCCTCCACCTCGTCCCTGGTGTATGTCGTCTCGGAGAGCCTGCCGGACAGAGCACACCGGGTCAGCAGCTCCTCCACCTCGTCCCTGGTGTATGTCGTCTCGGAGAGCCTGCCGGACACAACACACCGGGTCAGCAGCTCCTCCACCTCGTCCCTGGTGTATGTCGTCTCGGAGAGCCTGCCGGACAGAGCACACCGGGTCAGCAGCTCCTCCACCTCGTCCCTGGTGTATGTTGTCTCGGAGAGCCTGCCGGACAGAGCACACCGGGTCAGCAGCTCTTCCGCCTAGTCACCGTTATACGTTGTCTCAGAGAGCCTGCCGGACACAACACACCGGGTCAGCAGTTCTTCCGCCTCGTCACCGTTATACGTTGTCTCGGAGAGCCTGTCGGACAGGACACACCAGGTCAGCAGCTCCTCCAACTTGTCCCTGGTGTATGTTGTCTCGGAGAGCCTGTTGGACACAACACACGAGGTCAGCAGCTTCAAGCTAACTAAACACGAACAAGCCTGGTGGGGGCTGGTGAATATTTCGTAAGAAGATTTGAGCAATCAAAAAACTGTTCACAAGGTTATCATTTCTGAACGCAGCAGCCTGTTGTGCTTTCAATGTGCACCATTTGAGCCAAAGATGTGCGACCATTGGTGGACCTGTACTTTGAGATCCAGGGCTTCCAGATACGAGGAAGTTGATTTTTTTGGTCCAAGCTATGTATTAACGTCGTAGACTTAGACTGTCGTCTGAACGTCCCAAGATTTGCTCCATCCCTATACGGAATAACAGAACTATTGCGACTTCTGTGAGAGTTCCAGGTCGTAACACAGTACCGCTACTCCATGTTAAATATTGATACATGTTAATTTCACGCTAGACAACTCCACAAACAATACATTGAATAAATATTACACTCCGAAAAGAGCAAACCCTGGCAACAATAATCCTTGTGTGGGCCACGCCAGTTTGCAGGTTTCTACACATGTAACGAAACATACTTCCTGGGTGGGGTTAACTCCTCCCTTTCCGTTTGATTCTCTACTGACCATGCTGTTTTCGTGACTTCCTGCTGTGGGCTGTGCACGTCAATGCGCAGTGCTAGCCTCACACAACACAACAACGCAACAACACAAAACGGTTAGCCTCTGGACAACTTTGAAGCCCAGGTTCTCTGAGGCGGACGGTGCAGCCGTCGCTGTGGCAGTGGGGCCCGCCGCCGTCGGCTGGCGCCGCCCGCCTTGCTCACCGCGCGAACATGCAGTCCTCGAAGGCGACGTCGACGGTGCGCAGCCGCTTGTCGCGCTGGTGGCGCGCGAAGCGCATGTAGCGCACCAGCTGCGCCTGGTGATGCTCGTTCAGGCCCAGCTCGTCCGGAGCCGCCTGCCGACGGACCGGCAGATGGTTCTCAGTAGGCCGGCGCCGAGCCCAGCTGCTCATCCAGTGAGGAACTCCGTCTCGGGATTGTAAACGCGCGATGTCATTGCCACAGGCTCCCGTGCTTGAACGTTGCGATAACTAGGTGACTGTCCAAACACTTAAACTATTCGTGTGCCGCGTGGCGTTCGTGGAGCGTTATTGGGCTCATTCGTTTCAGTCAATGAGTGTTGTAGTGAGCCAGCGAGATCCCTGCTTTCTACTCAGTCATTGATTCAACCTGAGCGCCTAGTTCCTTATACTTACAGGGGGATATATATATATATATATATATATATATATATATATACAACAAAATAATCTCTCTCTCCTCTCTCTCTCTCTCTTCTCTCTCCTCTCTTTTCTCTCTCTCGCTGAGATAAAAGCGAAATCTTCTACAAACCCTAAATCCCTCTCTCTCTCTCTTCTCTCTACTTTCTCACTCTCCCTCCGCTCCATCTCCCTCTTCCCCCCCGCTCTCTCTCTCTCTCTCTCTAATGTCGGACGGACGGGTCGCCCATGCCTACGATGGAATCCACTGAAATCTCTAAAGTGAAGGAGACAAGAAACAACCCAGACTCTCGACAGCACACGGTGATTCATGATACGTATAGGTCGAAAACACTTGCTAACTCTCAAGAACGAACAGGCTTAATACCTCCCTAGCAGGGAAGCGGCCAAGATTGCCAATTGCTTCGACTTTCTTTGAAGTTGATGAGACGACACGCCGACCGAACTCACCATGTTAGATGCCGATACCACCAATTGAGACCGCGATCAATTCCCTTCTCCTCTTAGCCCCGCAACACAAAACGCGGGCCGCCCCGTGACACCCAACCCCGACGCGTGCCTCACACCACAGCAGTCGGCGAGCCTGGTTTGTTTGTGTCCGTTGCCGTGGCAACGCCCCGCCGGACTGCGCCACACGGCCCGGCGGCGCCTGAGGGCCGGGTTCCCAGTGGCAGTGCGCCCGATCCAGCCCGAGTATGTCGATACCGGCGAAGGCTGATTCGGTACGTAAAAAGAGACCGAGAGTAATCTCAGGTATTGGTTTCGTGAGCTAGCACACACACGGAGGCGTGATGGACTGATGAAGTTCATCTTGTTGGTAGGTTTGAGGACGAATCAGCGTTTGCGGTGGAGAGGACATGCAAAAACGAGCAGCGGTCAGCGGCCCACTGACAGTGTAAATGTTCAGCTAAACATCCCCATTGTAGTAACCGAAATGCAATACAGCTGGCGTACCTTCTCCAGACAAACACGAGACAGATCTTTATATTTATTGACCATGTGATAACGCATTTTCCAGGACTAGCGCAGCTTGTGGACGGATATGGTGTCATTATCACAGCAGTCATGACTAGACGGAATCTTGATATCAGATCACATGCTTCGTGCAAAAACAACAGCGGCACAACCATTGAGTGACACGGCAATTTGCCATCAGATACCCGCATGACTAGATTTGCGTCTTATACGATGCGAAGTAAAACAAGACACGCAAAAATAGACACGCATAATAAAACAAACATGGATAAATATCACGTAAACAGATCCAGTAACAAAACGCAGGCAACTTTCAGCTGGACTCCACCGCAACGGCACGCTTTGGACGAACGCACCGCATGACACAAGCCAGAATGATGGCGTTCCTCAACCGTCAGGGCGCGGGGCGCGTGTGGACCTTTCGGACGGCAGGGCGCTCAGAAACCGGCGTGAAGTGCCTGCTGGCATGTCAGCGGCACTGATGAGCGTGGCGCACCACACCGGGGTCACGTTTACCATATAGGCCAGACGGTAATAACAAGGGCGAAGCAGGCCCGTGCTAATGTGCTCGAAAGGCTGGCGGATTCACTACGGCATGTTGGACAGCGCTCGCGGGCATCTCAAATCCGCGCTACGATTCGCTTCGAGGAAATTAAATCAACACAAACAGACCGTCAACATCTTGCCGAATTTATCGAGCCAGATCACAGGCGTCCCCGGGACGGGGACCCGCACCAGGAGTGCGCACACTCGTGCACGACAGTGCAGCAGGTGGGCAGCGTAGCGGCCACCCTGTCGATCAGGACTGGGGGGCCGGTGCCGGCGGGCGGCACCAGAATGGCCGACCTGTGGCCATCTGATCGATGATGACTCGGCCGGACCCGCTGGGACTCGTCCGATGATCCGACGCCCGGACCGGCACCGCGGCCGCCTGGCCAGCCGAGCCCGGGGCCCGAGCCGGTCAGCCGGAGCTTATCCGAACCCCCCGGAGATCCGGCGGGAGCGACAGACGTCTGGCCAGCCGAGCCCGGGACCCGGGCCGGTCAGCTTGGGACCTATCCCAACACCCCCGGAGATCCGTAGGGATCGAAGACGTCTGGCCAGCGAGCCCGGGACCCGGGGACGGTCAGCTGGGACCTATACCACCACCCGGATTCCGGCGGGAAGCGACAGACGTCGGCCAGCCGAGCCCGGGACCCCGGGCCGGTCAGATGGGTGACCTATACCAACCCCCGGAGATCCGGCGGGAGCGACAGACCGTCTGGCCAGGCCGAGCCCGGGACCGCGGCCCCGGTCAGCTGGGAACCTATCAACCCCCGGAGATCCGCGGCAGCGCAGACGTCCGGCCAGTGGACCCGGTCAGGTCGGCAGGCGCCTCTATCGGCCGAGCCCGTGACCTGGTGCGGGTCGGGTCGCTTGCGGCCCAGAAACGGGCAGTAGCCCTTCTGCAGCGACTGCAGCTCGTAGTCGTCCGTGTGGAATAGCTGGGGACGGCGGGTGAGCGTCAGCAGGCGGGCGCCACACCACCGCCGGACACGGGAGGCAACAGCCACCGACAGCCACGGCTGGACGCGGCAGCCAGAGCACGAGCCAAGCGCATGTTCAGTGGCGGCCGGGCCTACTTACAGACGCCGGCGTGGATTAGACACGCCGACACTCGACCGGACGGGCAGCAAAGCACACATCGCAGAGACTCCACTCAGCGAAGTGCTTCGCTAGGTCGAACAGGGAACGACCGATCAGATGAGACATGATGGTAGCAGTCAACAATCAAGCGAGATGGTAGCTAAAATAGTCCATTGTTGGCTGGTAGGAGACGCCAGACCGCATCGCCGGTGGTAGTGATGGGGGGGGGGGGAGAGGAGCTGTCAGGAGGGAGCGGGCTACGTGGAGAACATAGGGACCGCTACCAGTGTCTGGCGTCTGACAAATCACATAACAGAACACGCTGCAGTACGCTCGACATAAACAGGGAAGATTTTAAGCCTCAGTTTTTTCCATCATGAGTTCAAAGTTCTTCTTCGCTCAATCGCCAAACTTCAATCACCGGGAGTTACTGGCCAAACAACGTTACTGAGCAGCCGCTGGTTACATCGCCAACGCTCAGCGTTTCTAGCGGTGTTCGTGGTCACGAGAGCCAATGTGCTTGGTGGACCGCCCGTTCCGTCCGCAGCGGCCGGCCTCTCACCCTGTTACACGACAGGCAGTGGGACACAGGCATGTCGGGCATCAGGTTCCTGAAGAACTGGTAGCGCAGCGGCGGCGGCCACTTGCAGACCAGCACGTCCACGGGACTCATGGCCCGCAGCGCAGGAGCGTTCACCACTACCGGGATGAAGTCGGTGCCACCTTGCTGCCAATGCAGAGAGGACCGGGTCACCGCACGGCCGGCAGGTCAGGGTATGGACCGGGTCACCAGACGGCAAGAGGGTCACGGTATGGACCGGGTCACCACACGGCGAGGTCACCGTATGGACCGAGTCACCACACGGCGGGCAGGTCACCGTATGGACCGAGTCACCACACGGCGGGCAGGTCACCGCATGGACCGGGCCACCATACGCCAGGCGAGTCACCGTATGGACCGGGTCACCACACGACAGGCGGGTCACGGTATGGACCGGGTCACCAGACGGCAAGAGGGTCACGGTATGGACCGGGTCACCAGACGGCAAGAGGGTCACGGTATGGACCGGGTCACCACACGGCGAGCAGGTCACGGTATGGACCGAGTCATCACACGGCGGGCAGGTCACCGTATGGACCGAGTCACCACACGGCGGGCAGGTCACCGTATGGACCGAGTCACCACACGGCGGGCAGGTCACCGCATGGACCGGGCCACCATACGCCAGGCGAGTCACCGTATGGACCGGGTCACCACACGACAGGCGGGTCACGGTATGGACCGCCTCACCAGAAGACAGGCAGGTCACGGTATGAGCCGGGCCACCACACGACAAAGGGTTACCGTATGGACCAGGTCACCAGACGGCGGGCGGGTCACGGTATGGACCGGTCCACCACACAACAGGCGGGTCACAGTATGGACCGGACCACCACATAGCAGGCGGATCACGGCATGAGCCGTGTCACCACACCCGGAAACACCCAACTCCTCAGCGATTGTCCTCCAGCCTCGGCACAAAACGACCTCTGTAACTGTCCAAAACTCTGTGTCCCGGGCTCAAAGCTGCGCCGCGGCCGCGTTACACGTCGGACGTATTGAGCTTGTTGCAGGGCCAGCACGTTGCGGCGTGTAATAAATAAACGACAATCGACGCTGACGATGGCAAAAATCGACACCAGGAGGCACAAATAACGTGGCGAGTACGATCAAAGTGTGACGAAAAGACCGACATATCGGTCCGGGGCCACCACACACAAGGCTCCGTTATCTGCCCTTTACTGGCCGGTTTGCACGGGGGCGCAGCCTCCGTTGAGCGGGACAGCGCGGCCACGGGACCAGCGGCGGTTACCTCGAAGTTGAGCAGCCGCTCGGTGAAGGGATCCGCCTCACCGCCGGCGTTCGGGTCATTGAGGGTCAGCGTCTGCGTGGTGCCCTTCTTCTTCTCCTTCCAGCCCTGCCAGCGGTCAAGCCCCGATGTGATGTGTTCGGTGCGCAACACACAAGCCCAGCGAGCTGTCGACGGATGCAGCCGTGCTACATAGCGGATACATTGTGACGCTCATGCCACGCTGGCTTTTCCGGCTCCGTAATCTACGCATTTCTGTGGACGGGCATGATTTGTGTCCCTCATCGCGAACATTTCGGATGCACTTTGAGACTCATGCACACGCCTATCACAGATGGCACGATGCCATTTTGAGGGCTCGCTTTGTACACTACGGACCTACGCGCATAATAGACTTCTACTTAGCAGTCTACAAATCCTAATGGATGACAACGTAAGACATATCATCCCACCCCTTGCTGTCTAAGACCTAATGTCAAGAAACGTAAGTTACCAACACGGCCAGAGCTGATCGCTGGAACGAGCCACCCCAACCGACGGTAACGCACGCCAGGCTGAGGGCCGCCCGTCTCCGCCACCCGTCGCACCTTCGGCTTCTTGGCAGTGCTGGCGCTCTTTTTGATGCCGCTGGCGCTCTTCTTGGTGCCGCTGGCGCTCTGCTTGGCACCGCTAGCGCTCTGCTTGGCGCCACTGGCGTTGGGGTGGAGGGCGGCGGCGGCGGCGGCGCTGATGGACAGCTGCGCCGGCTTCTCCTCCTCGTCCTCGTCCTCCTCGCTGGAGCTGCTCGAACTGCTCGACTCCTCGTCGTCGGAGCCGTCCGGGTCGGACAGCTCGATCATGCGCATGGCGTCCTCGTCCGAGATGCCGTCCTCCAGCTGGAACTCCACCAACGTCAGGATCTCTGTGGGGAGCGAGGGACGGAGATCCGTCATCGGGTCACACGCGCGGGAGCGCCGCCGCAATCACAGCAGTTCTAAGGAGAAGCCGAGAAACCCCTGAACCATCTCCAGGTGAAGGCGACATGGCCCTTGCTGTGAAGGGACATTGAGAACCATCTCTGATGCCCCGTACAAAACTAACCCGATTAACTCTAGGCTTAGTTGCTTCTGTCCCACTTCAAATTCCTCGGTAAAAGTCAGTCTGCAGTCGGCAGGCTTCCATTCCAAGGTGACCTCTGGCTGTCCGTGCCAGCGTGGGCGTTGGCTCCCACACGGCACAACAAAGCCAGCTTCTGTGCGTACAACGCGTGGCCATCTCGCCCCCCACCGGAGCCGAAAACTACACCCAAGCGTCCGACAGCAGCCTCTCTGACCAAACGCACCGAACGAGACGAACGAGAAGACGAAGGGCTGGTTGCAGTTGGTGCAGCGGCTGCCGCGCGTGTTGATCAGCGGGTTGACGGACGAGCAGCGGTAGCAGAGCGGCAGCAGCTCCTCCTTGTCCGTGAACGCCTTGCCGCGCAGCTGCACCGAAGCCAGGTCGACGTTCTCCTGCGGCGGCCGGGGCAAGCACCGGTCGGCCACCATCGAGACGCCACCGCTCCGAGTGAGGCGTGCCGCGTGCGTCGGTAAGCTGAACATTCTGGCCGGGTACAGAGCGCGCCCTCCGCTCCTCATGTGGGCCCTAGATCAGCGCTAAGACAATTACCGGCACATGTGGATAGGCGCAGCCTATTGAAGCACGGAAATCCCTGAGACACGGATGGGCACAAGGGCCGCACAACGGCGGAGGAGGGGAGGGGGAGGGTGCGATCACCACAGAGCGTGCGACTCACCTGGAAGCGCAGAGGCACCTTCAGCTGCTGGATCTTGTCCAGGGCATAGCGCGCCAGCTTGAACGCCTCCAGGATTCTTGCCCTGTTTGGCCAGCGCGTACAGGGTGCAGAACTTGGAGACACCGCGGGGCTGCGGGCGGGCGGACGGCCGTCAGTGCTCAGGGGCGACACGACCGGCGGCCGCGGCCGCGGCCACCGCCACCACCAACACGCCTCCTCTCACCCATCCAGCGCACGACAGGAGGCGACGCGCACGGGTCGCCGCCGGGCCCGCCGGGCAGCACCGGGTCAGCGGCAGCCTGCCGAGCCCGCCGCTGCAGTGCCGGGCCTGCGGGCAACGTATACGGCACGTGTCTGAGGCGTCTCTCCCGGGACACGGAGGGCTGACCCACTCACCTGGAGCGTGGTGAGCTCGTGCGTCAGGAAGCGGGCGATGTTGAACAGCGCCTCGGGCATGTACGACGTGAACGGCTCCTCGATGTAGCGGTGGATCGTGTGGTAGGCGTAGTAGATGTTGGCCTTGCGCTGGTGCTCGTAGAACAGCTTGATCATGGCGTCCTTTTGCGCGGCACTGGCGGGGCGGAGTGGGGTGGGGCGTCACGGCCGAGGCGAGAGCCGACTTGTCTCAGTGCTGGCGGCAGCGGCCCGGCCGGCCGGGTGACAGCTCGACAAAAAGACCCCTGCTACTGACCGGTGGGCCATTGCCCAAGAGCTCTGCTGTGAATACCCTCCTGGGAGTAGCAGCCATGGGACCGGTCGCAACCGCAGGGATTCTTTGATTCGACAGCGTTTGGATGCGGCACACGAAGATGTGTGGCTTTTCTATCACATAAGACAAGGTCCAAAATTGATCGCTGATCCAGCCGGACATACGCTAAACCAACCAGACACTGAACTACCCACGCCACCGTTCCTAAAATAGTCTAGGGTACGGAGCAGCGAAGTAACCCCGCGAAAATACGGTAGCAGCCTGAGGGGTCCTGCCTCCGACCGTTCCGGAGTTCAGCTGGTCATCGCGCGCCGCCGCCGGCGCCCACTCACTCCTCCTTGGCGACCTCGAGACACTGCAGCGACAGCACCCAGTGGTAGAAGGCAGCGTCGTCGAAGCGGCTCTCCTCCACGGCGTTGACCGTCAGCTGGTCCAGGATGAGGAATGCCAGGTCCAGCCGGCCGGCCTTGTGGAACGCTGCCGCAGGGAGGGGCCAGTCACACCAGATCGCCCCCGGGGAACAGCAGTCGGCGCGCGCGTCAGCCCCCGTCCAGCTCAGCTGCACAGTGGCATGGCACCTATGGCAATAACCTTAGCCGTCACTACGCATCATACGCGCTGCCAGACACAACCCCAGGTTCACGGCACATCACACACAGCACAGTTCGGGGGCTCCTGGCACAACACGGCGGACGCTGCCGTCCCGCCTCGTACATCACGGCACGTTCCATGAACGAACACGTCCGTCCCGCACACGCTCCGCCGCCGACCACCGACCTTTCTGCGCCTCCAGGAACTTGTCGTGCTCGGCCAGCCAGTTGGCGTACGGGACGTAGATGATCTGCCGGAACTCAGGGGTGTTGCTCGCCCAGCGCGAACGCCTCGTCCCAGGCCTCGGCCTCCACGTAGCAGCTGATCATCGACTCAGTGTCGTCCATCTTCCTGCGGGTGGCGGGCAAGCGGCGGGCGCGTCACACGCAGACCGGCCGCCGGTGGTCGGCAGGCGGCCGACAATGACCGCACCAGCAGCGGCTCGGCGACAGACACGCCGCTCCAGCCCCGTCTTCGGGCTCGGGCAGCTGTCCAACGACTTGGGCTGGTAACAAGTCTACCAGGCGTAATTCACTGCGCATACCTGACGTAGGTCAGCACCGGCCCGGACATCCCTTACTGCCAGAGGTATCCGGGACCATTACTAGCGGACGAGGCTCGGCGCCTCGGCCGGTAATTGGCTGAACTGCGGGCCGGCAGCGGCGGCGCTCTGATCACACTCACTTGTACATCTCGGCGGCCAGCGCGTACTACGGTCCGGCAGCGGCGGCGCTCCGATCACACTCACTTGTGCATCTCGGCGGCCAGCGCGTGCTGCGAGCCAGCAGCGGCGACGCCCCGGCCCCACTCACTTGTACATCTCGGCGGCCAGCGCGTACTGCTTGAGGCGGCGCAGGTGCTGGGCCACCAGCTCGATCGCCTGGCTCTCGCCCTTGTCCAGCTTGCGGCCCGTCTCGATGAGCCTGCGGCCGGCCGACGGACGGACGGACGGGTCAAACGACGCCCACGCGTTCAGCGGCGCACCGGCCACCGGCGTCAGCGCACTCTCACAGGCGTTGTTATGGGCAATGCACAATATGTGTGCAGGCACCAAATAATGAGTCTGTATGTACATCAACACTTCAAATAAACAAAGACAGATCTTCAGCTCCTGGTGTTTCGGTACCATGAGCTCAGACTTCTTATGATGATGATTACCCCTCCATACACCAAAAGGTACTGGTTAAAGGACGTTCTGGAGCAAACCCTGGTTAGGTGGACAGTACTCGAAATTTCCAGTTGTGCTTACGATCACACAGGAGTCAACAGTTTACAGCGCACTTACAGACGTATCACCTCCCCGGTCAGCCCCCTCGCCAGTCAGGCGGTGGGGAGGGGAGGCTGACGCCCCCGTCCGACCCGTCCTCGTGACGCGCTCCACCCGCGACACCGGGCGGCCGGAACTCACATGTCGATCCAGCCGTTCTCGCCCATGATCTCGATGGCCTTCAGCGTCTCGCCAGCGTTGACGTACATCTCGGCGGCCGAGCGCAGCTCGTTGATGTTCTTGGCCCACTCGGCCCGCTTCTTCAGCAGCGTCTTGCGGTCGGACGAGTCCTCGTCGCCAGCAAACTCCTGCCTCGGCAAGAGCGTGTGGTTAACGAGAGAGCTACGGTTCGGCCGCCGCGGGCGCAGACCGGGGGGGGGCTGTAGTCGGCTCATACACGGACCAGGCGCGGGCAGCGGATAGCGCGTGGTCGGTGCGCCACAGCGGTGGGGCAGAGCCAGACCACAGATGTGACGACCGCACCGGTCATGTCACACACGGACGTTGCAATGTTACGAAACCCATATGCCACCAATCGCGCACTGCTCCGTACGCACCCATCGTGCCGTCGGCGTGTCACTGGCGTGTCACCGACGCGTCGTCGGCGTGTCACTGGGTGTCACTGGCGTGTCATGAGTGTATCATTGGCGTGTCATCGGCGCGCCACCAGCGTGTCATCGGAGTGTCCCCTGGTCCAGGTCACCAGCGTGTCACCAGCGTATCACCGGCGTGCCACCGGCGCGTCACCAGCCCGGCCCCCCTGTCAGTGACAGGGCCGGGTCGGTCGGGACTGACCTGCGCCAGGTCGAACATGCGCAGGTCGGTGTACATCTGGAGCGCGGCTGACGGCTTGCCGCCCTTCTGGTAGCACTCGGCTGCCTCGCGGAACTCGCCGCGGTACGACAGGATGTCGCCCAGGAACACCTGCTCGTTGAAGTCGCCCTTCTTCTTCCTCTCCTGTCGGCAGAGGTGGCGGGTATGATCGGATGCGTTAAGGAAAGAAAGCTAACAACGTGACCAGGAGCGAAGTAAACCAGAACGCTCTTTCCCATCGCTCAGACAAATATGGAACCAATCGGACACCTAAAAAAAGGCAATGGATCATGAGGCATTTTCTTCTCGCGCAGCGGAGCCACTCAAGTGGCTACAAGACACCCTGACGGTCTAGGTGTGAAACCCGTGTTTATTCCACATACTTAAACTCATTCCTCCCCGGAGTGGGTTAAAAGGCACAGTGACAGATCCAGAAGACCAAAACGAGCGGCGGAAGAGCTCCGCCGACCGCGGAACGGCCCTCTCACCTCCATGGAATCGATGAGGTAAAGCCAGGGCACGTCTTTGATGCGCATGTAGGACTTCTTGGCCACCTCCAGCTCCAGATTGTTGAGCGCCTCCGTGCCCAGCGTCTCCCAGTCGCTCTCGCTGACGCCCAGGCAGGCCACCGCGTACGCCTGACTGTCGGGACACGGACGCGACCCACTTAACACCTGCACGCTGCCCGGCCCGCCGTCCGGCACCTCTAGAGGAACATGGTCCTCGGCTTCACGGCATGTTTGGTCTGGTGATATAAGCTTGTCACTTGCGATTTGAATTGAAGATCCTGCCGATGTACGTTGAGAAAAACTGACCCACGTGATTCGGCGCGCATCATATATGGATAGCGCACACGATGATTCCATGACAGCATTTGCTGCCGCAGCAACTGTTGCCTTAATTATTGCCTCATAGTCCTGCATACCACCGCCACGACTAACTCCACTGCCGCCGCCAACCCACTCTATTCTCACATCCGCCATGCGAGCTAGGGTGAAGTCCTCCACCGCTGAGTTGCCATTCGAGGAGTCGATCCCTGCTCCACGCCCCCATTAGGCTCCAAAGTCCGAGGCACACACAGCACTGAACCCCAGCAAGCCTACCTGAACAGCTTCTTGTCGATGTACTGGTACATGGGCGCCGACTGCAGCACGTCGATGGAGCGCATCGAGTAGTTCCACAGCACGAACACCTTGCTGCCGCTGAAGCCAACCACGAAGCCCTGCGGAGCGACACAGCGTCGACACAGTCAGGCCCGCACTCCGCGAGGGCGAGCATCAGCAGGAGCACGGGGCTCTCCCCACACACCGCGGTAGAGGGGGGGGGGGGGAGGGAGCATCTCATCATCGGGGTCACGGACGGCAGCCCCCCCCCCCCGACACACACACACGCCGCGGGGGCCGACCCCAACGCAACACAGGTCATGTCCAGAAGGGAGGATGAGCCCCACCAGCCCCATGAGGTAAGGTTCACAAAGCTTCAATTGGCACCATACAGAGGCGCCGAATATCTATGGATGCGCTGTGGCGGTCGATACAAATCAGTAATACATACCAGGGTACCCCCATAATTTGCCACGAGTTCCTCACGATGACACGTCGTATTCTGAGCAGCCAAGACACGAAGTTAGCGTTCAGTGCAGCCAAAACACGCCAGCCCCCCGCGCCGCGGTGGTCGCTGCGCTGTCACGCACCGGCAGCTTCTGCTGGTACGGCACGTAGGAGGCCGCCTTGATGAAGAGCACGCCGTTCCCGGAGTAGCACAGCATGTCCTCGCACATGGTGTTGAACGACAGGCTGCTGGCGTTCGGCTCCTGAAAATCGACGGTCATCGGTTGCGAGGAGCCAGCACCGGGGCGCGTCATACGGTGACGGCCCGACCCGCCAGCTGATCTGGTGCAGCGGCCGACACTGACAGCCGTGTGACAGCCGCGTTCGGGCCCGCGTCCCCGACACCGCACACCTGTGCCTCCTCTTTGGTGGTTAGTCAACTGGCAGAGGGCAAAGACAGCCACGTTGCCATGCCGTATTACGGCACCGCGCGGCACGTGGAGCTGAAATCGGCCGCCAAAATTACCAGTTGCATTTGTATTGCCCTAGTGGTGTAGCAGGACCGGTTCATACACGATGGGCCGTGCTCGGCACGCACCCTGGTCACAAGGTTATCACAGCAAACAATCGATTAATTTAAGGAAATACACCGGCAGCATCAGATGTTACCAGGGCAAAGCGCACAGCCGCATGATTTCTTCTGTAATCACTACCGTCTCACAGGGTATTCACAAGCCTCAAACTCCTGCCGCCATAGCACCCTTTATACACAGTTCAAAACCACATAATAGGGTGTAGTGGCCACTGTTCACACGGATCCAAAGACAAAAAGCGCGTCGGTTTTCAACTGGCCCACCGATATACCCATCAGCAAGGATCCACTGGCCACTGGCAAGGGCCACCTAAAGAACTGCCGTGTTTTCCACCTCAAAACGCGACGCCTTGGTGCCACCTCGCCGTGATTACCCACCTCGCCGCCGCACGCGCTCACGCCAGACGGTTCCGCAGCCCACCTGGAACATGAGCTCCTTGCTCTCGACGCTGTAGACGAGCACGGTGCCGTTGTCGTCGACGACGGCTAACTTCTCCTTGTATGCGGACAGGTCCAGACAGCGAATGGCCGACGGCACCTTGAGCAGGCTCACCGGGAACGCGTTGTCGATGAAGATCTTGTACACCTGAGAACGGCGCCGCCGACCGCGCCGGCTCGGTCACGCACTGCAGTGACAGAGTCCAGAGCGCCAGCACGGCGTGTGCGTTATTCAGACCTCGGCGCTTCGCGAACGGTGCACAGTTCTACGACACCATCCGTATCCTGCACAGCGGAGGACCAGCGCACGGGGCCGACTCGCATCGAGGACTGGCTCATGTCGCATGACGCCGGCACTGGACGGACAGGCAGCCGTCCCAGCGCCCCGCCGACGGTGGCCCCCTGGGACGCCAGCGTCAGCGATCGGGGCGGCGGCTGCGCTGCTCCGCCGGCGCCTACCGCCCACACCTGGGCCGGGCCGGGGCCGGCTGACTCACGTGGCCGTTCTTGAGTCCGATGAGCAGGCACTCGCGGTCGGGCGGACCGCCGATCACCTTGATGTACCGGATCATCGAGTCCATCACCCACTCGCGCTCGCGCTCGCCCGACAAGTTGAGACACTGCAGGCGGCGGTCCTGCGGGGGCGGCGCGGCGGCGCGTCACCGACCGGGCCGCCGCGTCACGGACGGGGGCGGCGGCGCGTGACGCGACCGTTCGGGTCCGGACACGGGGCCGACCATCACGGCTACAAGACACGGGACCGACGGCTCTTCAGGTGATGCGTGATACGGCGTGGCGTGCCAGAGAGAACCTTCATATCACACACATACATGGTAGAGCATAGTAGAACACGGTGGATCACGGTAAAACAGGGAGGCTCGAGAGATGGCATGAAACATCACATGTAGCACAGAGCGGCGTGGTTAACGCCAAATGCGTGTGCATCCAAAAGAGACGACGGCGACAGCGAACGGCACACGGCGACACGGTGCCCCGCACAGGACAACAGGTACACGGAGGACAGGCGCACCGCGCGAGAAACAGTGAACGGCAAGTACTTACAGACACAGTTACAGTTTACACCATAACGGGAGGGAGCACGGATGAGGGCAAAACACGCACATAAATGTATACTGCGAATCAGTATAGCAGAACAGGATTAACACACAAAGGGGTGCGTGACTAGCAAACGACCGGACTATCTCCCGATAGCCTACTTCCTTTTCACAGCGTTGTTGAGCGCGCGTCAAGATGTTGCATCGGCTGACGGCGCCTGGAGAGGCCGCGTAGGGAGGCCGTCTGTAGGGGCCACCTGGAAGGATGGAGGCGCCTGGGGGGGGGGGGGGGGGGGGGGGCGAATGGGGAGGCTACCTCGGGAGGCCACCCGGGGCTGACCTGGCAGAGCACCAGGTGATTGGCGCAGATGACCAGCAGGCTGCACTCCAGCTTCTGGTTGAGCTTCTCCTTGACGCGGTAGTGCATGTCGGTCGAGTCTCCCGTGTACAGCTCGTATATGATGACCCTCTCGGGCAGTTGGACCTGCGGCGACGCCGGACTCCACGTCAGACCGCGACAGCTGCTGCCGAGCGTAGACAGCGGCGGCGGCAGGCAACGAGTACATAACCACCGCATACATCTGTGGCTGGTATACAGGGTAATCTTTCCGATCCATTTCCAATCATGATTCAATGAATGTCCCTCGTCTATCGGCCGCCAGGCTATCTTCAAACTAGCAGCAGCCAGTACTAAAAAATTGTGCACCTATGAACGCAGCTGGCGGACCTCAGCTAAAGTGACAGCACACGACAACTAAACGCGAGCGGCAAGGCTCACCGTCTCCGAACTCTCGCCACGTACTGACCACCCTTAACACTGAACTGTACTCGCGATCCGGAGATTCTTCTACATCCAGTTCATGCTCCCTCAAAATTCTAGCCAGACTGACGGCCCGGTGAAACAGCTGCAAGCAAAACCTCACACGGCGACCATCCCTTCCTGAAAGCCGCTCCGCCCCCTCCCCCCCCCTCCGCCGCTGCGGTCTGCGGAACGGGGCTGGGCTCCCACACTGGGGGAGGGGGGGGGGGAGGGGGCACACTTACCGCCAGCCGGGTCTTGTAGAGCGCGATCTTCTTCACCATGTCGCGGCACTTGATGCGCACCTTCTGCTCGGTGATGAGGTGCTCGATGATGACGTCAGTCATGTTCTCCCTGCGGGAGCGGACCGGAGACTTCAGGGTCTGGTCACGCCTACAACGCAAGCGTACTGCCCGCTCCGGCCGTCGCGACGGCCCGTAGCTCGGGTGCTCGTCACGCTTCACAGACACGGCCCAGTGGTAAACGTCCGGTGTTGGGGGCGGAGAGCCGTGCGGGCTCGCCTGTCACGACGCGCGCCTCTGTGTCCCAGACAGTGAGGAGCACCCGTCGGTCGGAGCGTCACAAAATGAATAACCCGTCGCACCATCCATTTCCCCGCCCGCACCAGCATTCTTCTATCTTTGGATGAAACAATTGCGCCCGAGCAGGCGTAAGTAACACCCCACTCCATACAGAGGCTGACTACGGCGCCGCCATCTTCAATCAGAAAAAGCCACAGACACGCACGTCAAGCGGTGGAGGGTCGCCGGACATGGCGTACGGCAGCGGCGGCGGTCGGGCCGGGCTCGGCTCACCTGAAGGCGTACCGCTCCCGGTGCAGGCCGTGAACAGTGCTGAACACGAGCTGGTAGTACGCGATGGTGCCGTCGTTACAGCCGCACGCCTGCCGCAGACGGCGGGGGCCGGTCAGCGCGGCACGGCGCCAGCAACGGGCGACACATCACCAGCAACAATCGTACAAGAGAGCTTAAATGCCGCCCAAAACGCAGGCACGCGAGATTAACTGAACTATTCATCCTCTCTAACGACAGCACCAGCGCCGTCAACACCCACTTCCCAGCGATACCAGCCACATCGGCAGAGACAGCAGCAGCGGCGGTGGCAGCGGCTACAGCAGCAGCGACATGCTCCCCCGGTAAGAGCCATACGCCGCCGTCCGCTGGCGTTCGCGCCAGCCTCGCCAGCAGGACAGCGCCCAGGCCATGCGGCACCGGCCCCTCACCACGTAGTTGCTGTCGGGCCGCGGCGCGGCGCACCAGACCCACGACTCCTGGGCGCTGATCGTCTCCAGACGGATGCCCTCCTTGGTGAAGAGCGTGCACTCGCGGTTGGAGCCGCCCATCAGGATGTACTGGCCCAGCGGGAAGAACTGCATGGTGCACGCGTCGAAGCGCAGCTGGCGCTCCTTGCCGATCTGACGGCGGGACGGGACGCGCTCACCGACAGAGGCGCGGCGGCACCAGCGGCGGCCACAGATCACGGGGAAGCTCCGGAGGAGATGACAGCGGGCGGGAAAGGGGCGCACCAGTCACGAGCAGGGACGGCGGCGCGACAACCCAAGGGGGACGTATCCTATTTTACCAAATGAGATTCCTCTTCTCACTTTGCCCGTACAATGCAAGTTTTTCAACTCATTCCATTCAAAACACAGTTTTCAGGTTGGAGCTGTCCCCCACGGTTCAGTTTGACCTCCAATCCCGATACGACCCCCTCAACATCAGACGTGCTCATGCTTATGGACAGGAGACTGACACAGGGGCCGGGGCACCCTGACCGGGACAGCACATACCACAACATATTTTGAGGCATTGTGGAACACCATACGTGATGAAGAATGGGTTACTTGCATGGTGCACTACACATCATGAAGTCCGTGACGCAGGCTTGGATTATCGCGGCTTGAACTTCACAGTCACAGTCACCATGAGAACAAGGAACAGGGAAATGGACAATAGGTAGGAGCGTGATGTGAGATAGCACCTACTGATCATGTACATTTCATGTCGTCTTGCAGAGTTAAGTCGGCTGTGTGTAATACAGTCGTGGCATGACTAAGGACTAAATCCCGTTGGAAACCACTAAACCGGCTTCAAACAGTACAACACGATCTCGTCACTTGGTCTGTCTGATGGCAACACACGACAAAAACAACCAAATCAACGCCAGCACAAGAGTTCCCTGTCATGCACTGCCAATGCCAACACACGGGCTCGATCCAAGGCCAACCGATGCGCACTATTCGGGAGAGTTGAGCCAACACGAAGGATCTGTCGTCCCTGCACTACCGGCCGGCGTACCTCGGCCACCTTGAAGTCCTTGCTGTAGACGGAGTAGAAGGAGAGCGTCTGGCCCCAGTCAGCCACCGCCAGCACGTCATACACGTCCTCCTTCACCGGCGAGAAGTGCACGCGCCAGACGGGCGAGCTGCTGCCGCCCGGACGCTCGATTCGCGCCTTTTCCTCCCCTTGCTGCAGCGCACGTGAGCACCAAACCGTCAACGACACAGCGGCAGCGAACGGAACGCGTGCAGACAACGCGCCGTGGTAAAACGGGAGCGGTGCCGGTCACAAGGCGCATGATCCGGTACCAGCAGCGCGCTGACACGCCGGTCACTAGCTGAACCTGGTCCATAATGCTCATGAGGCACGGCAGCCTGCCCTTGTCCCCAGAGACGCCGGCCGTCTCTTGAGGCCGAGAGCCCACCTTGTTCCTGATGGAGACGCTGCCGTTCATGAGGCCGAGCGCGAAGAGCAGGCCGTCGGTGGTCCAGGTGCAGCTGTTGACGCGGCTGGGCACGCTGTACTTGGTGACGTTCTTCTGCTCGGGCGACCACAGGCCGAAGTCGGACAGCGAGCACGACACCAGCATCAGGCTCAGCGGGTTATAGGCGATGCACTGCACGGCGTCCTTGTGCCTGCCGGGCCGATGGGGCGAGACGCTCAGAGCAGCCACGACACGCCATAGGCCACACGGCGTTTCTGTCACGGCACACAGCACGCACGCCCTCAGATGACATCACTAACTATCATATGACGTCACATGCCGGCGCACACCGTCATATGACGTCACACACCGTCAGAAAACGTCATATGCTGTCAGAGGACGTCACGTGCCGTCAGAGGACGTCACACACCGTCAGATAACGTCACACGTCATCAGATGACGCCACATGCCGTCAGGTGCGGCTCCACGCCAGCTCCGCGGAGCACCAGACCCGAGTGACGGCACCGCAGCCGGCCGCGGCGTCTCCTTCTCACGTGTAGCGTAGGATGCCCTCGATCTGGCAGACGCCGTGCTCGACCTTGGTGCCCTTGGTGGCCCAAATGATGACGCTCTTGTCCTGGCTGCCCGACGCGAACCGCTTGCCGTCGCGGCTGTACGCCACGCAGTACACGTTGCCCGTGTGTCCTGCCGGGCCACGGACACGTGAGGTGATGCACCGCCTCCGCACAGGGACATGCAAGGGTACGTCGTCGGGGCAATGACAAATGCAAGATATTCCAAAAGACGAGACTTTTGATGATACCACGGAAAACAACACGGCAAGACACGCGCTTTTGGAGTGGTCGTGTGAGTTACATTCTTTCAGATGCGAAATTATGTGAAGTGCGCATACGGAGAATGAATGGCAAATATTCCGCAGCCTTGGCGTCAAAGGCACAGTGAATTATTTTCCACACACTGCACCTATTTCGTCATGCTTAACCTGGATGACGTTTAGGAAGACATTTCAGAACTTATGAATGCCAATGGTTTTGATCGTAGGTTTAAACCCGACTTGAAAACCATTTGAGCCGCGTTAACAAGTTATGAACGCATATGGTAATATCACATTTGTATGCTTTCTGTGACAGCTAAGCCATAACGATTACCTTGAAAGGCTTCGCAGGGAGTTCTTCATGATATACCGGCAGACATCACCGAAACGCTATTCACAAGCTCACCACAAAATTCCTTACACAGTCAGCTGGCTGTCCCAGAGAATATACACCCCTGGGGTCCACACTAAAGGCCCAGCGATTTTGACAGCACAGGGTGCCCTGCAGGCGTCTCAGCGTGTCTAAAAGACGCGCACAGATTGAGCAGAGCATCACAGACAGCGGTGGGCACGGACTACATAGCCCACTGCAGTACGATATATGCCCACTGCTATCATATATGATATGATATATGTCCACTACTATCATAGATGATGTCATATATCCTCCCAATATCATCAGACATATGATAGCGGTGGGCACGTATTGCACAGCCAACTGCTATATGCAATTGCATGATTCTCAAACATTCCTGGTCGACCGAGTCCGAATGCAAAACAAATTTGACACCTGCGTTCTAGCTCATAGCTTTTCTAGACATGTTTAGTCTCCTCTGTGTCACTATCTCTTGCGCCACTTCTAGATTATATTGGCACTCTGTTGGCGACCCTATTTAAAAGAAAGCATGAAGAACCAACACGATACTACATTTCCGCTGCGTTACCAGAGGTCACTCTCGAGAGTTACACATGTTAATATCCAATAAAATTTCTAGCTTCCAATGATTTTATAGGGAAATTTCCACGGCATACACTTCAGCGAGAACATAGCCGAACGCCCCAACCATCACAACACCACCGCCCATCTAGAAGTGACCCACTGACGGCGTTACACACCGATAAACGCCCGTCACATCACTCGGCGACCGTGTGGGGGGGTCAAGGTGTCCAACACCAGTCACCTTTCAGCGGCTGTATGAGGGATCCGTCCACGGCGTCGTAGACCAGCACCCGGTTCCCAGCAGCCACCACCAGCATCGTGCCATCGGGGTGGAAACACATGTCGTGTATGCTGGAAAAACCACAACATAACCCCACTGAGCCGTGAAGAGCCAAACACAAAGCGCATCAAGGCTGTAGTGCCGCAAAATGAGCCCGGGGCGGGGCGGGCTGAGCAGTGAAAGTAACGAGATCCGCCCCAAACCACGCTACTAAACGTATGTCTCCCCAAATTCGACCCACCTTCTTCTCAGTTGGGGGTGAGGTGGGAAGAGAAGCTACCCCAAGTGAATAGGAAACCACATCCCTGGAACACAATGCCAATGAGATGTTCCGAGAGTTCATCAGTCCACATTGAGCACGTATAACAAACCAAATGCGGGCTAGGTCTACCAAGCAGTCGTAACTTGCACATGGAGATGACCGACAGGAAACAATGAATCCTCAATGACAGCCATCATTGGTAGACCATGCACACAACATGCAAGAACAACAGAACTTAGCATATCACACCTGGCTGGCCATAAGGACAAAGCATTACTCACGGTTGTTCATTTTTGTCCTTATCGTGGACTTTATCCACCCACGTCGTCACTGTCCGCATCCTGGCGATCGGCTGCTGTTATTGGTTTACTGCATACACCGTGGCGCCGTGCCTATAAAGGACGAAACACCGATTCAGGGGAACATCAACTCGGCGTAATCGCTGATCATGGTTTTGACACGGCTGTGAGCATAACCAGCGTGATGGCATATCTCTTGATTCTTGATTACCAACGGGCAGGGAGGGCGATGCATTATATTGCAGGATTACGGAATTCCGATTGCGGCCATACCTGCCACTTGGGCATGGGTTCACAACCAATTTTTGAAATAAGGACGGGTGTAGATTTTTCTAGTTTTGTAATCCAATCGAGAATACAATTTATCTAACCAACGAGTTTTCTTGGCACACTTTTCGGATCTTGTTTTCTTGAAGTAAGTGGACATCAAAGGCCCTTTTTTTGTTTGTTTTAGGTATAGGTTTGTTCAATCCACAAAACACTTCTCCAACCGAAGAATCTAGTCAACGGACGGAAAACGCTCTAAGCGTGCCTGTGCTTAACCCTCGCCCTGATGTGAGGGGGGGGGGGGAGGGTAATGCCCCCACGGTTTATGAGGATATCTCTCCGCTATTTCGTGTAATTAAGCCTAAATTTTGGAAGCCTCTGTACCCCTCATTGTGCGTATGATGACATGAAAAAAGTGTCTCTAGCGTTTCCTCAGTTCACGAGCAGCGAGGGATTTTTCAGAACACTGCAACGGCTATACTGCCTGGCTCGGGTGACGGGGTCGGCTAGCGCGAATGACGGTCCGGCTAGCGCGGGTGAGCGGGCGGCTGGCACTGGTGACGGGCGGCCAAGCGCGGATGACGGGCGGCCGGCGCGGGTTGACGGTCGGCTAGCGCGGGTGACGTCGGCTAGCGCGAGTTGACGGACGGCTAGCGCGGGTGACGGGCGGCCCCTACCCGAGTGAGGATGGCTAGCGCGAGCTGATGGCGGCTAGCGCGGGTGACGGTCGGCTAGCGCCGAGTGACGTCGGCTAACGAACGCGGGTGACGGACGGCTAGCGCGAGTGACGGACGGCCAGCGCGGGTGACGGGCGGCTAGCGCGAGTGACGGTCGGCTAAGCGCGGGTGACGGACGGCTAGCGCCGAGTGACGGACGGCTAGCGCGAGTGACGGCTCGAGTAGCGCGGGTGACGGGCGGCTAGCGGGAGTGACGGTCGGCTAGCGCGAATCCGCCAATCACACGCGTGAGGCCGACACCGTTGCATCAACAGTTCTACATAATAAATGTATGCTAAAAACACACAATTGTACATCAATGTACTCATAATTAAACAATATGCTGGTGCAAGTTGCATGTTGTTACACAGTTGTAATCGTGCCCTTTTCTGGGAGAAACTGCCTATGACCTGGCATAGTCGGGCCAATTATTCAGCTCGCGGTAAAAAGCTATTACAAATTGCGAGATCTCATTGGAACTAATCAACTGCTTTTCCGCGAGACTCTGTCCTTAGATGGAAACGGCAGGGGGGGGGGGGGGGTCGCATCAACCCCCTCCCCTATCGGTTCACGTCACCAGAAAACGGCGAATCCGGGAAAGGTGAAGTTATTGTTATCGATGACCGCATCTACGGGACCTTACTCCAATCAGGTCCAATCTTGTCCAATCAGGCATGCCACAAATGACAAGCCCGCAACCGATTTCCCAGTACAGCTTCGACATTCACTAGTTGCGAAACAGCGGCTTTAAACTTCGAATGAAATGTAATGAGTTTTGAAACAGCCAAATCACAATACGATGGTATTTAAAGACTACAACCACAGGCGTATCTGGGGACCTGACGATAGTGTTTGAGAAGATAGGGATACTTTATTGATGTTTTTGGGACTACGCATCAGGAGCGGAACCACCAGGAGGCTATAAACATTGCATGCACTCGCACTTTGGCACACCATTGGCAACGTTCACATTGATAACCATGTAAGGGTTCGAAGCTTATTCATGCGTAGCGAGCGAGCTTTCAGACATAGCGAGCTTTCAGAGCTTGCATTTTGATACTCTTACTACCAGGCTGTCCTGCAGAATCAGCCACACAAACGGGCATGCCATTTTAACCTGTCCTACGAGCTGGTTGTCGCTGAGGACAGCTGTTATATTATCAATATCCTCTAAACAATAGAGCCCGACAAATTTAGCGAATTTAGCTCTAGTCTACTGCCAGGTCAAACCACAATCACTCCGATTTTTTCGCAAATCCGTTTACTCAATTTTTTATCGCCATTCTTAGGACGTTTTCTGCAGAATGGGGGGCGACGCAACCTGCATGAGAATAGCTTGGTTGGCGCTCATCATCCCTCCGCATTGGCGAACAGTCCTGTGTTCGTCCCTTACCTTTTCTTCCCCTTCACAGTCCTCTTTACAATCCGTTCCACAGCTGACATTGCAGTGTATTTTCCTATGCGTCTCCAGTCACATATTAACCACTTAAGGTGATGTTTTAAAGGGCCTTTGAGTTCTGACAGCACAAGGCCACCTACAACGCCCAAATCGTGCATTTTTGTTCCATGCTTGATTGCTAAGACGGCCGCCCGTTTCTAAGTTTTCGGTTGTACCGTTGCGGAACCATTTGGATCATTTGGCGACCGTCGTCCGCATTGACTTTTTTGTCGGTTTGCTTTCATCCCATGTGATTACAGTGCACAGTACCTTTTTCAGTGAGGTTCGGTTCCTTTCTGTGATCCTGGGCCCTTGTGTAATCTCAAGACTTCTTCAGAAATTTGAGGAATGAGCAGCGGAAATGAAGCAGACGATTTTTTACCATTTTGCAAAGCCGGAATGACTACGTCATCGATATGAGGTATGATGTTAACAGTCAGCTTTTCTTCATTGATATCAGTGAGACTTTTCAAAAGGGACGAAAAAAGTGCCTTACGAACGTCATCAGACTATTTTCAGGGTCATTATTTCTGAATTTCGCGTCATTTTGACACTGTCTTAAACTCAGCCGACGCCTCGCAATCTCTGGGCGCATCCCGACGGCAATCATCGCTATCACTCTGCTGGAAAAGACGACTATACTCTCCACCCACGTATTCTCATGCGGCCACGCGAGCATAGCACCTACCTACCCTTAGCACGTAACTACCTACCCTTCGGGGAAAATCACCGACACTGGTCAGTCCCGGTCATGGCTCTGAGCGATATCACTTCGGCAGGCAAGCCCGTCAGGTGTTGTGTGCGTGCATTTCAATTAGTCGCACCTCTTCTAGCTTAAAAAGGAGAGCTGGAATGTAGAACACCGATGCTCGCACAGTGCACCGCCTGCCCCGTCCCCAAAGCACCCAAGCGACCAAGCATTGACTCAACACGGACGATTTAGGGTTGAGACTGCTGGCATTGCACGCACTTTGGGCAAAGGTCTATCCGCAGCGAGCCATCGTCAACAGTCCGTGCAGGGCCAAAACAGGGCACGGGAGGCTGTGGCTGCTCGAGGAATCTCCGAGCAGGACCGCTATACTGTCTTATTGTCGACGCCCTGATGTTGTGGTGAGGCCGAGCCTCGATCATGGAGTCCGCTCGGTGTCAAATGTGGAAATTCGGCGGCACTCCACCGCTGCCATTGGCCCTGTGCTTATCAGAATACTTTTGTCCGACGGCTCTGAATGGCAACACCTATAGCATTGCATCCCATCAATGTTTGTGATATTCTCTCAGCTTAAAGCTATGAAATCGGTTGTTTGACGGATCCGACGTGACTGAGAAGTGGCGGTGGAAAAGCAAGCGCCTTACAACGCCAATTTATCAGAAAAGCGTAGTCAGCGGACCTTTCACTGCGTACCAGTATTATAATCGTGAGATGGTAAGAGCGGCGTAATTCAAGATCAATATCATTGCAGGCCAGACACATCAGTGGGCTGAAATTTAGAGCACTTAGACGTCAACATCACTTAACATGGCTACAACTGATTTCGCTCCAGCGGAAAACATTCCCGACTCGACTCCTAGCACATAGGATTGCCTCCGACCCTGACGCGCAGCAGCACAGTACAACAGGACTCGGAGTCCGACCCAACGGGATAAAGCTCGTACTAGGCGCCTCATAACAGCGCGAGAAGACATCTGATAATGCTAGGATTATACACATAGAACTGTAGTTTGTTTCGCGCACATACAAGCTGCCAGGATACGCATCTCAGGTTGCCAACTTTCTATTTGAGTCAACCACCGATGACTAGAAGCCTTGGTTCCATCTCGCGTCGACCCCGGGTCCGCCGGAGTCAGGCACAATCCAAGGATGCCACACCTTGGCTGCTGACAGGTTTACTCTGGTGATCCATGCAAAGCTATGTTGGCATGGCAAGAATGTGATCTGACTTCGTTTGACCCGACCTGACAAGGTCAACCACAAAAGACAACGTGAAATAGTACCAGTAAAACGTACACATCCCATACCCGGTGCGCTACAGCAAGCAGCACCGGAGCACTGTTGGCTGTGAACGCCCCTGGTGTGGACACGAGTCGTGCCACCCCCTCTGTTTGGTTTGGTAACTGGCGTACCCGGTGACGCTGTTTAAGGTTTACTACCAGCGATTGTTCATAACAAAATGCAAACATCTGTAACAGCATTTAGGTTGCTATATGTTGAGCATTTTGCGTGCGGTGGTCAGTAAGAGTTATGCACCACTTGAGAAAATTATTTTAAAGCATAAAATATTTGAGAAACAATCTCCAGACTGCAAGTGTAAAAATTAATAGCTTCATTTGACTGCATGTGCATATCATTATGTGGATAATAAAATGTCATTGTGATTAAACCACAACAAAATACACATAACCCACTACAAGAAGATTTATCAGGATTATACCGGATATCAATACTGAAATGCAGGGTGGTCTATTGAAAGGACAGCAACGTTTTTGGAAGCTTACGTAAAGGAACTGTTCCCACCATGTGAAACACTTCAAAAGTGCACTTGGACATGTTCCGGAACCACTCAACACATACAATAAACCATAAATTTACACTATGTATCAGGTATCAGAACTGGTCAGGCTGCAGCAGCTGCACTGCACATAACAATACCGGAGATTTGCCGTAAATCCACACGTT